AATGAAACTTCTAAGCACTGAACCTTACACCCTAAAATCCTTGCTCATTTTAGCCCTGAAGCTTTGTTTAGGCATTGAGTTAATCGGGTTTGCGGGTGTATTCTTTCGGGTTGTCGGATGCCGACTGATACTTCGATGTTGAAGGATCTGGGGGGATAAATTTCGGTTTGGGCTGTAGGGTCCAAGGCGTTGGGTTCAGAGGCTTCAGGTTTGGGGTTCTAGAGTATACGATCGTCAGTCATAGTCCTAGTTTGGCATCCTCCTGATACGACAGTGCCGATCAAGTAGATACCTCCGGTAGCACGCACAAGGATCTAGACCCGGTTGTACTAACAGAAACGATCGAACTTGTCCACAACAACAACAAAGGGGTTTGGGTGTAGGTATCACCGACCTACCGAAAAACAACTCCATGCCCTAGAGGCCCTACAAGCCTTCCGGCCGAAGGCAGATTTGCTTTTGGACGGGGGAGTTCACTGAAGGGGCTTCTGTCTAATTCCTCATAGTTTTCCCCCATGGTCCCTGTACTTTATACTGCAAACCCCCTAAACCCTAAACCTTGAGCATTGAGCCTTAAATCATCCTACAGGTGTACAAGAACTTCTGCCGTTTGTCAACCCAAGTGGACTTGGGCCCCAAAGAAACCCCATTCTCCAACAACATCATTTAAAGTAAAAGCCAGAAAGTTGGAATATGGTTTCAGGGTAGGATACCCTATAATTTGCCATAAAGGGTTTAGGATAATCATATTCCAACTTTCTGGCTTTTGCTTTAACACCACGGATCCAAAGTGTTTCCGGAATCACGAACACCTAAATGGACCTACACGGCGGCACATGAGGGTCTAGCTTTAAGATTTAATTAAGTGTCTCTATCTGGAGCCCGATAAACCCTACATCAATCCTGAATCCCGAACCCCCGACTGAACTCGCAAACACAAACCCCACAAGATGTCAGCATCATCTGATGGCACGTGCAACAGGAATCAGAGCACCCAACCCAAAAACTCTTGCACGCTGACTCAAAACGCCTAAGCTCTTACAACATCTTCTAATTACGTGATGAGAACACCATAATGTAGGAAAATGATTAAGAAACCTTGGGCCTTTACTTGGGTTCCGTATATGAATCCTACTGTTTTGGTGTTATAGGCCCAGGGTGTCTTAATCAGGTTCCTACATGAGAACCTCTGGGAGCTCCCACGAGAGCCCCAGCTGGGTCTATCGTCCCCAAGGCCTCGACGACGGAGCTGCCAGGAGTCCCAAGGAATTGGAGGAACTCCCCGCGCTCCTGCAGGCTTGCGGTTGACGCTCCGCAGCCCAAATAAACCCTAAGCCCCAAAAACCCTAAACTCCAAGACTTCGGCTGGCGGCATCCTTTTTGCCACCCCAACCGCAACCGTGCAGGCAAACCGGGGTGAAAAAATGTGGACGTTAGCTGAGATTTAACCTTGCAGCGATAGGTCGCACAGGCCTTCTGCTGCGAATCTGCCTGCCCTTCAAAAAATGTATATATGTGGTTGTCAAAATTAGTGTCCCTTTTTGGGTACCCGAAATAGTAGGTGCCGTATTATAGTAGGGACCCAAAAAGGGACCCTAATTTTGACAACCACCCATATAGAGTTTCGGGCTCAAGGCTTCGCTTTTGGGTTCTCCCTGCATTGAAATAGGGCTTGGGATTCAGAGTTCAGCAAAACTCTGTTGGGCTTAGGGTTTGGGGTTTAGGGTTTGGGATTCAGAGTTCAGCAAAACTCTGTTGGCAGGGTTTAGGGTTTAGGGTTTGGGATTCAGAATTCAGCAAAACTCCATGCCGAGGTCTGTTCAGCACAGCATACAATAGCCAGCACCTTTCATTGTCATTTCGTCCTCAAGCAAGGCCACGGAGGACTCTGCAAAGGGCCGTTGCGACGTTGTAAGACGTCCTACCATGATTTTTGGATTGGCTTCCAATAGCATCTCGTGAATGTACATGTGCGTGCATGCATGCAAGCACGTTTGTATGCATGTGTGCAAGCATGTATGTATGCTTGCATGTGTATGTATACATGTATGTATGCGTGTATGTATGTATGTATGTATGTATGTACGTACGTACGTATGTATGTATGTATGTATGTATGAACTTGAAGGCTCGAAATTGTGAACTGGACCTATCCTTGCCCTCGGATTTAGAAGTGTGGCTTCAAGTTTGGGAAGGTTAGTGTTTAGGCCTCAGGGGCTTAATTAATTAGGGTTTAAGGGTTTAGGATTCAGGGCACGCAGACTCGGGCGTGAAGAATTCCGGCCTCACGGCGTGTCCTTTAAACGTGCAGCAAATTAGCTCACGCGTGGAAGCGGACAAACTCAGGCCAAACAGGCCAAACCCAACCCCACCAACGAAATCCTACCTCGACGCCAGACAACCTGCATGTTGAGGGTTTATTTATCCAGACGCTCCATATCTACTACCATCATGGAATTAGGTCCCAAAAGACCATCCTTTTATGGCTTTGGGCGCCTATAATATTACATAGTGGTAGGATAATTGGACTCTTGGTTTGGATTTCCTTATCTATTTAGGGCTTCGAGACTGAGTTAGAATTTCAACCACCCAGAGCAACTCGATCCTAAAGCATCACCCTCCAGCCATCTGGGAGTTTCCGAAAACAGCGGACCCATAGTAGGAGTCTATTTGGATCTCCAAAATACGGTAATTACCCCTAATTTTTGGGAAACCATTATGTTTAGTTCTCTAAAGTAAGGCCTCTCGTTGGGTTCCCGTATAAAAAGGACCCTAAATTACTGGGACCCTAATTCAGAGAACTAGCCGAAAACCAGGCAGGGAAAACTATGGACTTTCTGCTGTAGAGACATCCAGGCCCAGAATCCATCTCCCCGCGTTGCACTACACTACAATCGGGTCTCTGCAGGCTGCGCTGACTCTGCGCAACAAGGAAAGGGAGGTACTTTCAATTCGCATCTACTACTTACTTCCCAATACTCAAGGAAGCAGAAGTCCAAACTTTCTGTGAAAGATGCCCAGCGATGGAAAGCTTGGGTTCCGAAGAACTAAGCATCATAAGTATACTACTTCAAGGGCTCGGTCCGACTGGGTAGTTTCCTACATCCTACAACCTACACCCTCAAACCCTGAACCACTTGGGAGTTTCCGAAAATAGGGGACCATTTTTTTAGTACCCTAAATAGTAGGATCCTTATTAAAAGGACCCCAAAACAAGGTACCCCTAATTTTCGGAAACTCCCACTTCGGAGCCCCGCCGTTTCAAGTCTTAGTTGCGACGTCAACTTCGAGGACTGAGTTTGCAGACAAAAGCCCTCAATGGGCTATGGGTTTTTTGAGGTGATGTCAGAACTCGTCCGAGTGCACTCAAGCATGCACTGTCCGAGGGCTATGGGGTTTAGGGTTTAGGGACAAGCAACAGTATAGGATATGCTTTTGAGGCCCAAATATCTCTAGGTATCTCCTTCAATGGGCTTTGGCGTTTAGGGAGTTTAAGGTGTGGGGTTTAGGATGGTGGATGCTGCAAGGGTTGGGTTGCCATAGGGTGCTACAAGGGTTGGTTATTCATTGTGCCCTGGACCCGAACCCTAACCCCAAACCCTATAAAGCCCACAAAACCTGTAAACTCTATATACCCTATAAACCCTAAACCGCAAGCTCCAAACCCCAAACCCTATCGGAGCAAGCCGGAACAGAACAGGACACGTTCTGCTGAGGAGAGTCACCCGGAACAACACCGATTGGAAGCCAGGAATGTCATGCCGGATCATCGGACTTGAATTTATGCTTCTGGCTTGGGGTATGGGGGCCCTGGGATTCAGGGATCAGAACAGAGCCAGCTTGTATTGCAGCCTTGGCCTAAAATGCAAACGTTGCGGGAAACCGGTGCGAGCTCGCAAGAGCCAGCCGTCCAGACGAGGCTGTGGCAGCCACCTGCTTAGTGGAAACGATCGCCTACGCTTGGAGCCTTACCAACCCATGGAGTCCTACCTATATAGTAGAATGTGATGGTTTCTTTTCGAGGAACTACTGGTGTGATCTGGTCCAGTATCCCACATCACAGTACCTAGGACCATTATTTGGATAAATAGACAGAGTTTGGGGACATTGTCGAGGATACTGTTCTTTCTCAGACCTATGCATGATTCTAGATAGCCACCTCGTGTGCAGCTTTGGATTTAGGGTTTGAGGTTTGGAGTTCAGTCTTGAGTCTTGAGCAAAAACTATCATCGAACTGCTCTTCAACTCATCTTCTTGCTGGTTTAACGCAACACTTCTCGACAAACAAGAGGGGGGCGACAAGGGACCTTCAGGTCTTAATCTGTTTTGAGGCCGACTGGCCTGCGAGCACGGCCCAAATCCTGAACGGAAACTTCAGGGTCTATAGGGTATGCGGGTTTTGGCCACAGTGCCGGCCAGTCCGGAACATAGCACAGCACAATGCCACAAAGCAAGCGCGAGACACCTTCTATGCCTGCAACTCATGCTGCCAGGATGCCCAGTTACCTAGGAATAAAAAGGGCTCCCTTCTTGGTATTGGGTAACTTTATAAGGAACCTAGGAGTACAAAAGGGGAATATAGGTACTACTGGGCATCCTAGAATCATACTTTGTTGCATTGGTGTGGCGGCTGAGTTCCTGCAAGGACAAATTGGCCACTGCATCCCCAAACCCTAAACTCCGGAGAACCGAATGCAACTGCACCATTTACTGGGTTGTAGTCTTGGGGCTCTGAAAAGTATCTATGAATAGGTACCTCTATAGGAACCATAAGGGAAATTAAAAAGTTTCCCAAATTGCCACCTAGTTTACGATATCCTTACTCTCTTCGTCTGTAACCCCTACACCCCTACACTCAGGCTGTTATTTTAGCTATAATAGGGAACGCTACGGAATAATCTTGGGGAAAAATGAGGCTGCCCTTGTAGGCCATAAACCTGAAACCGTCACAAACCTAAAGCCTTCACTGCCAGGTGACAGGCTGCAAGGACGGCGGACATCTAGGAGTCGAGATGTACCTGCAGGATTTAGGGTTTAGGGGTTTGGGGTTTAGAGGTTTAGGGTTTAGCGGTTTAGCAGCTTCTGACGGATGTCCTTGCTTCGGCTTCCAATCCCGCGAAAACCACCACAACTGGGACAACTCAAATCCCAGACCCTTGCATCCTTTCCTCCCATAGGCAGGCCATGAAAGCTTAAGGTGCCCTAAACCCCCGAATCCTAAGCACTAAACTGTGAAGCAAGTAGATCCCAAACGGCGAAAGTATCCACTGCACGGGCGCTTGCATCCAGTTAAGTTAAGAAGGACTGAAGCTCAAGGTCACTCCTATAGCACTACTTTAACCCAAAATCCTAAGCCCTCAAACCTTGAACCCTAAACCCCTTACAGAGCCCTACATCCCAAAACCCTGAAGCCTTGAAGCCCAGACACCACATATCCCCTTAGTTGCGTGTCAAGAAACGAGCCCTTCGTCTGACATCCGCTGCACTGCATGGTTCCAGTCAAGGTCATCCTGATGGGGTTTTAGGTGGTTTAGGTTTTAGGGTTTAGGGTGCGGGGTTTTCGGTGTAGGGTTTAGGATCCTGCATGCAGTCGTTGAACAAACCGGTGTGTGCATTTCGGCGGCTTCACCACGGCTTGGTAAGGGTCCACCGAAGTTTTATCAGTGTTTGGGATGGTTCGTATGGGCTTTAATTTAACTTTCTGATGGGTTTTATATGGGTGGTTGTCAAAATTGGGGTCCCTGTTTGGGTCCTTATTATAATACGGCACCTATTATTTAGGGTACCCAAAAATGGACCATAATTTTGACAACCACCTATATGTAGGAGCTCATGCATTCGGGTCGTGCGGGCTTACAAGCTGAGGGCTTCAGGATCAGCATGCTGGCAACGACACAATAATCAAACGGGAATAGGAGGGACCCTTAATGGGGACCCCTACCCTATAATGGGGCTATATAATGGGCATACAATGGCTATATTATATTAAGGGTAAATACCTAGGGGTCCTTTTTAGGGGTCCTTTTTTTACCCTTTGAAATAACTACCCCAGACCGACAATGTAAACGGAACACAACATGGACACTAACTCAGACAGTAGGACGACTTCACTGGTGCCTCTCTAAACTCTAAACCCCGCCCCTAAAGGGACCCTCAGCCCTTACAATGTCCCGAAAAGACCCTAAGCCCTTAAACCCCTAAAACATGAACCCTAATCCGACCCCCTAAGCCAAACCCTAAGCCCTTGATGGCATCCCCGAGAAAAGCACCTCCCGGCCCCCAAGCCCTAAAGGGACCCTGAACCCTAAACCCTTTTGATAATACCTTATAGTATCCCGCGCAACCGCCTAAACCCTTCAAGCATCGCCTCTCGGAGACCCCAAACCCCATACTTCCCGCTGAAGGAACGCCTATAGAAACTATGGTGTCCCCCCAAAGCAGAAACCCCAAACCCTATACTTCCCGTTAAAGGAAGCCCTATAGATCGCTTCAAAGGAGCCCCTATAGAAACTATGGTATCCCCACCAAAGAAAGGGCGCCTTGTATTGCCCTAAACCTAAACCTCTTTATCATATGAATATTTAAACTTTAATACCCTTCGTTGTTCTTGTTTTAAGCAATTTTCGGTACCATTCGTTGTTTTAAGCTATTTTCGGGGTTCCCGTCGTTGTTTTAAGCAAACCGTTCGTTGTTTTAGGCAATTTTCGGGCCAGACCCCCATTCCATTCGTTGTTTTAGGCAATTTTCGGTGTTCCCGTCGTTGTTTTAGGCAAACCATTCGTTGTTTTAGGCAATTTTCGGGCCAGACCCCCATTCCATTCGTTGTTTTAGGCAATTTTCGGTGTTCCCTTCGTTGTTTTAATCAAACCATTCGTTGTTTTAGACAATTTTCGGGCCAGACCCCATTCCATTCGTTGTTTTAAACAATGTTCGGTGTTCCCTTCGTTGCTTTAGTCAAACCATTCGTTGTTTTAGGCAATTTTCGGGGTTCCTTCGTTGGGCAATTTTCGGGCCAGACCCCCACTCCATTCGTTGTTTAAGGCAATTTTCGGTGTTCCCGTCGTTGTTTGAGGCAAACCATTCGTTGTTTTAGGCAATTTTCGGGCCAGACCCCCATTCCATTCGTTGTTTTAGGCAATTTTCGGTGTTCCCTTCGTTGTTTTAATCAAACCATTCGTTGTTTTAGACAATTTTCGGGCCAGACCCCATTCCATTCGTTGTTTTAAACAATGTTCGGTGTTCCCTTCGTTGCTTTAGGCAAACCATTCGTTGTTTTAGGCAATTTTCGGGGTTCCTTCGTTGGGCAATTTTCGGGCCAGACCCCCATTCCATTCGTTGTTTTAGGCAATTTTCGGTGTTCCCTTCGTTGTTTTAATCAAACCATTCGTTGTTTTAGACAATTTTCGGGCCAGACCCCATTCCATTCGTTGTTTTAAACAATGTTCGGTGTTCCCTTCGTTGCTTTAGGCAAACCATTCGTTGTTTTAGGCAATTTTCGGGGTTCCTTCGTTGGGCAATTTTCGGGCCAGACCCCCACTCCATTCGTTGTTTAAGGCAATTTTCGGGGTTTGGGGAAGAGCATCTTGAAGGTTCTAGGGAGGGTTGGGGAAAGTTCAGCACTGTAAAGAGACCCCCTCTCATTCGTTGCTTAAGGGCCTAGGGTACCTATTTAACGCCCCAATAAGCGAAACAATTCCTACAAGAGGTTTTCTTCCTAACGCCCCAATAAGCGAAACAATTCTGCAAAGATTTCCATTCCGAATGCCCCAATAAGCGAAACAATTCTGCAAGAGGTATTCCTTCCTAACGCCCCAATAAGCGAAACAATTCTGCAAAAGATTTCCATTCCAAACGCCCCAATAAGCGAAACAATTCCACAAGAGGTTTGCCTTCCAAACGCTCCAATAAGCGAAACAATTCTGCAAGAGATTTCCATTCCGAACGCCCCAATAAGCGAAACAATTCTGTGAGAGGGTTTCTCTTTAACGCACCAATAAGCGAAACAATTCTACAAGAGGTTTTCCTTCCTAACGTAGAGCAACAGCACTGTGACTTTGCTGTGTTGCATGTCATTGAAGTTGATATCAGTGGACATAGTCCGATGTGGAAACATTGAAAGACATGAAATCGAACTTGATAGCTGTGGTTGCTATCATACAACGATGACGCGATCGCGGTCTCATGTTTCGGGCAGTGCTTTCTTGCTTTAACTAGCTATCTTGACCGATCCATTGGTAAGAAGAATACATCTGTTTTAGGGTTGCGTCAATAGCCTTGAGTGCAACATCAACAGCAACTTCTTGAAACAGGAGTGGTAGATGTTAACGACGTGAATGTTGTGCTAACGTGCAATAAAACTGGTTTAAGCTGCAAAACGAAACGAAACTTTCTACTTCCCTGATGTTATGGGATTCTGAGGGTGGGTGGGTGTTATTCCTAAACTACTTTAAAACTGCTCGACCCGGAGTTGCTGAACTAAACCCCTAAACCCTAAACCCCTAAACCCCTAAACCCCTAAACCCTAAACCCTAAACCAAGCCACGACTACTCCGCCACACCTCCCCCAACATCATGTAGTACTTTCCCCTGGATACAAAGATCGCATTAAGTTTACTAAATCACGACACAGAGGCCACCCCGCCAGATATTGGTTCGAACTAGTCTCTTCGCACGCGTTGGAATACCTGAACCACTATCTCGACCACTCCGCCCAATATAAGGATCATAGGAGGGATTTCTTAGGCTTCAAACAAATGTTGCAGAAAAACAAGCTCTTCGGCGATCGCTTGACTACTGCGCCTACGCGCGCTTCGCATATTTTCCAGTTGTACAGAAAGACAGTCGGCAGCGCTTGGCACTCCTAAAAAAAAACAAAACCCTAAACCCTTAAAACCCTAAAACCCCTAAACCCCTAAACCCTAAACCCTAAACCAAAACCCTAAACCCTTAACCCCTAAACCCCTAAACCCCTAAAACCCCTAAACCCTTAACCAAAACCCTAAACCCTTAAAACCCCTAAACCCCTAAACCCCTAAAACCCTAAAACCCCTAAACCCTACACCCTAAATCCCTAAATCCCTAAACCCCTAAACCCCTAAACCCTTAAAGCATCGCCTCCCGGCCCCGAGATCTTCGCGCCGGTGGCAGCGAAGGCATCGCCGCGAGCGGCTCGGTCCTGGGCTCCGTCCGCCGGTCCTGGGAAGTCGCTGTGCTGTGGGGTTCCAAAAAAAGGGATCTCTGGGGGGTCCTTTAAGGGATCTCTAGGGATCTATAGGGTTTAGGGGGGATCTATAGGGGTTCCTTTAAAGGGACCTATAGGGGTTCCTTTAAAGGGATCTCTAGGATTTCCTTTCAAGGGATCTCCAGGAGGTTCCTTTTAAAGGGGATCTCTAGGGTTTCCTTTAAAGGGGATCTCTAGGCATCTATAGGGGTGCCTTCATAAGGGGTCTAGGGATCTAAAGGGTTTTTCTTTTTAAGGGGTCTAGGGGTTCAGGGTTAAGGGTTTAGGGTTTGGAGTTTAGGTAGGCTTTAAAGGGGTCGTTGGAGGCTCCGTTAAAGGGATCTATATGAGGCTTCCGAAAATGGGCGACCCTAATACAGTACCCTAAATAGTAGGAACGCTTAAAGCTTGACATTAAGGCCCCTATCATTTAAGGTATATTCCTTAAAAAAGGGGTATTGGGATCTCTGAGTAAAAGGGATCCTTTGAAGGGATCTCTATGGGTTCCTTTAAGGGGATCTCCAGGGGCTCCTATGAGTTCCTTTAAAGGGATCTCGAGGGCTTCTACAACGGGTCTAGGGGTTTAGGGTTGAAGGTTCAGGGTTGAAGGTTTAGAGTGGAGGGCTTAGGCGTTAAAGGGATCTAAAGGGGGTTCCTTTCAGGGATCTATCGGGCTTCCTTTAAAGGATTCTATAGGAGTTTAGGGGTTAGGGTTTAAGGCTTATATACCGTTTTTAGGGTTCCTGTAAGGCTTCGATTTCGGTGCTTATTCAGTGCTTAGGGATTCACTGATTTGTGCTGGGTGCTGTTTACCTATAGTCTCCATTGTAGCTCCTTTTTGGGGTTACCTTATAGGATCCTTAATATATAGTTGGTTAAACCAAAAAAAGGAACTACAATGGAGACTATAGGTAGGGTTTTACCCATGCACGAGGCCTACTTGTATGTACGGCTGCGAAAACGCTCTACATCAGCATTTGTAATCTGACCACCCAAACAGGTAGGTTATCATAGCTTCAAGAAGGGCTTCGTTTGAGGGGTTAGGAGATGATACCGTCATAGTCACCTTGTCGTACCCTGACAGTTTACCCTGATAGCATCCTTACAGTAGCCTTCAAATACGATCTTCATAGTGTCTTTATGGTACCTTACGTTCTCCTTCGAATATCTCTTACTACTTATAGTACTACCCTTCCAGTTTAGAACCCTAAACCCCAAAGCCTGAAAACCCAGAGTTTCCAACCAGGTCGCGGCCTTGGCAGAGCCGGTGCTGTTGCCGGTGTTCGCAGCGCCCACCGCGGCCGCTGTGGCAGTGCGCGGGGTGCCAAGCGTGCCTTGCAGTGCTACCGCGTAGACGGTTTCATGGTAGGGGAGATACTATGGGAGTTTCCGAAAAGAGGCGACCCAAATATAGCACCCTAAATATTCCAAGGACCCCCAAATAAGGTACCCCTAACTTTCGGAAAGTCCCATGTGGTTGAGAGCTGTGGGTTTTCTTCAGATTGGGATTTGGAGTTTGGGGTCGGGGTGGGGTTCAAGGTCTTTAGGATTTTGGGACATCAGCTTTGCTTAGGGCGTTTAGAGCTTCAGGGTTTGGGGCTTCCGAGCTTAAGAGTTTTTGGACTTGGTATAAGCTCACACTTACAGCCCTATAATCCAAAACTAATTCCTACATGCTTAGAGTAGTTGCTGAACCCTATACTTTTGAAGCCGCAAGGCTGGATCCTCCTCGACCCCGAGGCACCGCTACCGTAAGGCGGCCAGTGTATTGAGAATAGAGGTCTGAACGCTACTATGGCAGAATTCTACATGGACCACAGGGGGATACCATTTCGTAAGGGTCCATGTCCCCAGATTGTATATACTTGGACCTTAAAGTACTCCCTATATAGGTATATTGGGCCCAAAGTATATACTATCTGGGCACATGGGTCCTTAGGGATTGTATTCTGATTATTCCGGTTTGAACTGCAACTCCGCGCCGGCCACTGCAGGGTTTGGGGCGGCTGCAAGGCGAGAGGGATTCGCAGTAGTAAGCCGGGCTCGAGCTTGGGTTTAGGGTTTAGGGTTTATCGTGTCCAAACTATAACGGCTGGCTACCAAGCCCTAAACCCTTTCCAACCTGAAACCTGCGGGGGGGGGGGGGGGGGGGGGTCAGCAAGAATCCTTCCTTACGAAAGGTACCTTAGGGTCCCTTGATTTGCGGAACCCACCACTTCTGAAACCAAAGACGGGCCTACCTGGGGTTCAATCATCTCGAAGTTCTAAACTCTAAACTCGAATTGCCCTACATCCCTCCGTCCCCAGACGAGTGGCGAGCGCCCTTTGGCGTCTGCGTGGTCTCCTGCCCCAGAGGTCCCCTTTTGCTGCACCCAGACGCAATGTGGTATCTGTTTTGGTTACCTTTTTCTTTTCTGATATGGGAGTTGCCGAAATCAAGGGACCCCAAAAAAGAACCAGAAATTGTAGGATCTTTACTCTAAGGACCCCCAAATAGGGTACCCCCTTGTTTTCGGAAACTCCCATATGGGATCCTAACCATGCAGGAAAATATCCAAAAGAATATACTGCAATGAAGGGTCTCGGTGGGCTTTGAAAATGAGGCCTGGAACCTAGAAATCCTCCACTGTCTTTTTCGTCCCTTTTTATGGATTCCATGTATGGGTTCCATAAGCAACTTAGGCTTTGCGTGTAGAGGTTCATGGGACTTAATGGGTAAGGTGTTCGGTACCTTAATCAGATGGGCTTATATGTAGTAGGTCTTAGTATAGTTGCTTCGCTCGTGACGCTAATTACTAAGTCCTGTGATGCTTTTAGATGGTAGGACCTAGGGTTCGAGTTTAGAGAAAAGACCTGGCAGAGTCTTGAATCTTCGACACCTCAACCACAAAACCGCTAGCCACTGTTTCGACTTCAGAACGCCCTAGATCCAAAATCCTTTCAGAACCCTACAAGAACCCTTACGTATCATAACTTTGAAGGAGCCTTACAGTAGTAAACCTCAAATCCTTATAACCTCAAACAAAACACTTCAACCCAGCCCTTAAGGGCTCCCTTGAGCCTGAAAGCAAGCCTTAAAGGAAACCTTAGTATCTCTCTTTTACAGGAGCCCCAAAGCTTTCGACTTACCTTTGGTTGGTAGGGAATGGAGGAATGAGGTACAGTTATAACTACTGTTACTACCATTCTTCCATTTCCCTACTAACCAAAGGTAAGTAAATTCTAATTATTGAGGCCCCTATAATATCATACCCCTATGGATCCAATATAGTAGCCCTTATAGACCCCTTTAAAGGACCCCGTTCGCCTTGCGTCGCCCCTCCACGCTGCTGGTGCGGCTTCGCGAGTCCAGACTCGCCATGGTACTGGGCGTGGTCAAGGGCACCTGGGCCTGGGAGCTTTTAAAGGGTTTAGGGGTTAGGGGCTCCTTTAAAGGGATCTATAGGGGTTCCTTTATAAAGGGATCTACAGGGGTTCCTTTAAAGGGATCTAAAGGGTTTAGGGTTTCGGGAACGAGTTGTCCTTTAAGCTCTTTGAAAATTATTTACTATACTATTATGGTTCTCTAGGCACCTGGGCCTGGAAGGTCTCCTTCACAAGGGATTGTAAGGGGTCTCTTTAAAGGGATCTATAACTGTAGTATACGGGTTCCTTGAAAGGGATCTATAAGGGTACTATATGGGTCCCTTTAAGGGGATCTATAACGGTAGTATACGGGTTCCTTTAAAGGGATCTATAAGGGTACTATAAGGGTAGGGCTGAGGGTCCACGTACCCAAATAGTAGGTGTCTGAGTCTTATGATAAGGGTACACTTTCTCCTACCATTCTAAACCCTAAACCCTATAAGGGGACCCTAAACAAAACAGGGCACAAAGGGCCGTTTGAGGGACCAGGGGCAGAGGGTCTAGGTTTAAGGCTTATTGCTTTAGGGTTGAGACTTTAGGTTACAGGGTTTAGGGTATAGGTTAGGTGGAAGATTCAAAGGTTCAGGGTTTAGGGCGGCTTGTGGTTTAGTAAAGGAGCCACTTGAAGGAGAACTTTAAAGGCACCCCCCTGAAGGCCCTTAACCCGAAACCTAAACGAACCTTTAAGGAATTCTTCTTGTATCTCATAAAGGCACCCTTTGAAGGAACCCATGTTAAAGGAACTCCGAAAAAGGAACCTTTGCAGAACCCCGAGCTTTTTTAAAGGAGCACTCGAGGGAAAACCTGTAAAGGCACCCCTAACGATTCCAATTAGGGATCCCTTTGAGGGTTACTGTAAAGCACCCGTAACCCCCTAAACCCTAAACCTCAAGAAGCCTAGGGCTTTTCTTCCCTTTGAGGGATCCCTGTAAAGCACCCAGGCGGGGCAGGGTGCCTTCATGTCTGAGGACGAAATAAGGCCTATCCACAGAAGTATAGTCCCCTACCCGTACCCCCCTCCCCCCCAAAGGTCCCTATGATTTTCCCTGCCTTGGACTGCTGCCGCATCTTGTCGTACGCATCCCGCAGCTCCGAAGCCAACTCTTCCTGGATTCGCTAGACCCAAGAGTACCCTAGGATTAGAAAGGGTGCCCTTTTTGGTTTAAAGGTGCTTAAAAAGGGAAGAAAGGCCTACTCTGGGTCCTAGTTTGCGTAGGGTTTTAAGTTTGGGGTTTGGGGTTCATGAGATTAGAGTTTAGGGTCCGGGTTCAGCGTTTTGGGTTTCGGGTTTTGGGTTTTGGATTCTAGGTTTGGGGCTTGAAGTTTAGGTTGAGGCTCGACCTGTTTTTGCCGAGGTCGTGTCTTGTTGAAGAGCCTTGTTCCCACTCTAGAAGGTTTAGGGCTATGGGTTTAGGGCTTGGGGTTGATGCTTGAAGGTTCATGGCTTTGTGGGGTTTAGTGCTCCGCAGGGCCTCTGGACATACGTTGTGTTTGTAGGCTTGCTTTGAGTTTTGCTGGTTTAGAGATGTGCGGATTTCAACATGATGGTTGAGGGTTGGGGAATGCGGGCTAAGGTTATAGGGTTCCTGGTGGTCTAGTCCCTCGTGATGTAGGGGTCATTCTTGACCCAGGGTCCTAGGATTTCGGGCCTATGTTAGATCCTTTTGTTTCAGACGACCCATCCCAGACACTCCGTCAAAAGATCAAGCCAAACCATGAGATCTAATATAGGGGCCATTAATCATTAGAATAGGGTTTTGGGGCCCATAAAACTAGAGTTATAGCAAGGAACCCCCAAAATAGTATTGGTAATTATTTCGGCCCCTATAGTACTCTGCCCTGGCCCGAAGGTTTACCTGGACCCTGAATGGTTGTTCCCTGAAGCCTGATTCACCTATAGCAGGATTCTCAGACTGAAAGAATCAGAATGAGGCTGCTCGGTATGCAACGCATCCAACCCTAAACCCTAAACCCTAAACCCTAAACCCTAAAGCCTAAACCCTAAACCGTGACCCTGAATGGTTGTTCTTGGTCGACCTACGACCCCATCCTTGTCGAGTCGCCTGGGATTCAAGGGGGAGCAAAGAACCCCAGAAAGGGCAAAGAAAGGCTACCACTCTCTACCTTAGAAGCTGCCCCCACCCTGTGATAGTGACTATAAGGAGTATATTAGGGCCCTATTATACTCCTATTATACCACTATTACAGGGTGGGGGCAGCTTCTAATCTCTACCAGATATAGGATTAAGACCCGGTCACCAACAGAAAAGAGGCTCTCACGAAGGAATTCGGAAGGGTCTACACCCCAAGCCCGAGAGAGTAAAAACATGCTCACCGCAAGCGTCGGGCATCAAAGCTCTGAACAACCCGGCCTTGGTCTGCAGCTCCTTCTGCAGCGTCTCGGTGATTAAATCAATCTGCTGGTAGTACCTCGTTTCCGGTGTATGGCTTGGGGTTTGCGTTTAGGGGTTACAGGTTTCAGGATTTGGAGCTGAAGACAAGCACTTAGACAAACTGAACTTGGGGCAGCGCCCTGACAGTTTCCAAAGGTGGGGATGGTGCGTTGTGGTCTGTTCGTTGTTTTGGAGGGGGAGTGGGGATGGGGGTGATACTAGGTGTTCTAGCTTGAGGTCTATGATTCATCAGGCTCAAGCTACTGAGTTTTTCTCCCGCAGAACCTACCAAACCTTAAACTCCAAAACCGAAACCCTAAACCCCAAAACCCTACTAATTACACCCAAAACAACTAATCCCTATCCCCTAATCCCCAAACCCTAAACCCCGAATCCCTAACCCTGAACCCTAAGCCTCTAAACCCTAATTCCTAAACCCTAGATCCCTAAGCCCCTACACCCCTAAACCCCTAAAACCTAAACCCCTAAACCCCTGAATCCCTGAATCCCTAAACCCTTATAGAATCCCTATAGATCCCTTTAAAGGAGCCCTAAATCCATAAATCCCTGAACCCCTAAACCCCCAAACCCCTTAACCCCTAAACCCTTATAGAATCCCTATAGATCCCTTTAAAGGAGCCCTTTAAAGAAAAACCCTAAACCCCTAAATCCCTAAAACCCTGAATCCCCAATCCAGACAAAGAGCAGCTGCAGCTGCTCCTGGAGGTCGTCGCGCTCCTGCTCCAGCCTCGACTTCTTGCTTAAGGAACTTAAAGTTAGGGTTTAGGGTTTAGGGTTTCGGGTTTAGGGGTATAGGGTTTAGGGGTTTAGGGTTACCATAATAAGGAAACCATATTATTTGCTATAGATCCTTGTTATGGAAACTTACAACAAGTACTGTGACATCAATGGTTGTTGCAACTGGTACATAGGTTTGTGTCTAGCTAGGGTACTGAGCGGGTCCTTGAGAACCTGAAGTCTTCAAGCCTTAAACATTACAACTCAAGGCCCCAGAGCTAAGCCCCGCCCTCGGCAAAAAGGCAACCCTCAACCGCCAAGAGCTTAAAATCCAGCATGCTCTCGGTATCTTTAAAACGGACAGGGAGCTGTTGCGCGTACTCCATCGTCTGCCGAAGATTCTCCTGAGGATCTTCTTCGGCCCAGGTCATCCGAAAATCATCAAGAAATCAAAAAAATTAGAGCCTCGCGAAAAAACTGGGTGTGTGTGCCTGTGTGTGTGTGTGTGTGTGTGTGTGTGTGTGTGTGTGTGTGTGTGTGTGTGTGTGTGTGTGTGTGTGTGTGTGTGTGTGTGTGTGTGGGTGTGTGTGTGTGTGTGTGTGTGTGTGTGGTGTGTGTGTGTGTGTGTGTGTGTGTGTGTGTGTGTGTGTGTGTGTGTGTGTGTGTGTGTGTGTGTGTGTGTGTGTGTGTGTGTGTGTGTGTGTGTGTGTGTGTGTGTGTGTGTGTGTGTGTGTGTGTGTGTGTGTGTGTGTCTGTGTGTCTGTGTGTCTGTGTGTCTGTGTGTCTGTGTGTCTGTGTGTCTGTGTCTGTGTCTGTGTCTGTGTCTGTGTCTGTGTCTGTGTCTGTGTCTGTCTGTGTGAGTGCTTGGGACGTTGAGGGTTTAAGGTTTACAATGGCTGACAGATGTTGCAAGTTTACAGGACGTCGCGATCCTCTAAGGCTTGAGGCCTTGGTGCGAAAGGTTTACATCTAGTACAGGTGTACATCTAGTACAGGGGACTTTAATGACTAGAATGCGGTTTCGAGAACTGCTGTAGCGCAAAACTGAAAGGGCCTGAACCCTAAAACCACCTAACTCCACGCCTTGAACCCTTCCCTGTAAACCCCAAACCCCTGAACCTTAAAATCCTAAACCCACAAGCTCCAAAACCTCTCTCCTTCAATAACCGGGCCCAAAAAAGTTCAAACTCTCTAAGACAGACCAAATATATATAAGGCCAAAAAGTTTAAAGTTCCCCCATTGGCTATCTAAGAAACACCCTCCCCCCCCCCTAAGCCCTCTCTTCTGCCTCCTGGGTGTCCAAATGGAGCGAATGGGCCGCTGCCTTCGGAGTGATAGTGTTTAGGGATTAGGGCCTAGGGTTTAGTTTGGGGTTCCCTTAAGGGCTTGGCAGGTTCTACAAGTTCTTCTGTGAAGGCTTGGCAGGTTCTACAAGTTCTTCTGTGAAGGATTCGAGGTTCAAATCTTAGGGTTTCGCAGGGTCCAGGGTTTCGGATTCGGTCGGGGTTGAGGGTTGGGGTTCAGGGTTTGGGGTGGTGGCCTCAGGGTTCAGAGTTTAATGTTTTGACTACTTACACGTCCCAGCTATCGTTCGTTGGGACATTACATCAAATGGCCCCTGACCCGAAACCCTAAACAAAACTGCAGTTGTGTTGGCCTTCGTCTCCATGTGCCACTCCTTGAAGGAATTCGCCAACCTGAGCGTGCAATTAGGGTTCAGGAATCACGGCCTAGGCTGTTGCGTTTATAGGTTTAGGATGTACATGGTTAGGGTGTAAGGGTTCAGAGTTTAGAGTTTAGGGATTTAGGGATAGTGCCATGCTTAGGGGTTTAGGGATAGTGCCATGCTTCTACTGAAGAAGTCCAGCACACACAGGACGCAGAGTATTTGGAGTGCAGAGCTCACAGCTTCCCGCTCGCTGACCTGAACCTCGCCTGGCGTAACCTGGTAACCTGCCGTCTTAAGGAGCTGATAGAAGGAAACCATAGTAAGGAAGCCTGCAACTGTAGGTTTTCTTGGTCCTGGTATGACTTATGACTTAAGTTTTGGGGATGTTTTGAGGCTGTAGGGCTCTCGGTCGATGGGGCTCTTGTCCGGCCAATGGGTGAGCTCTGCACCATCCCGAAGCGCTACTTCCGAAGCCCTCAAGCCACAGCCGGTAATCACAGTTTAGGGGTTTAGGGTTTAGGGTTTCGGGGTTTAGGGTTTGCGGAATCCCAAAAGACCCATATAACCAAAGGGCAGTGTCGCAGCGTTCCTCGCCAAGTTCTTGCCCAGCATATACCTTCAAACTCTGGATCGTGTCAAAGGTCTGTGAAAATAATGTAAAGTTTCACTAAAGGCCCTAAACACTGAGTTCATATATATATATATATATATATATATATATATATACAAATGTAACCAGTCTTCATCCTACCTATCTTCATCCCACGCTCCTGCATGTCAAACAACGGCTCCTGCTGCGTTTTGGTCTTGGCGGTTAGGGTTTGCGGTCACGGTCAGCGTCAGGTTTCAGCGGATCTGTCAGAGATTTGTAACGGTAATGGTTCTGTGGATGCGCAGGAGGCTCAAATTTCTTCTTGGTGTAGATTCTGGTGCTTTGGCTTCAGCATATAAGGATTTGATATATGATTTCGGATCTCGCCGCACCGTCGAGTATTGTTTTTCGGAGCTGAGGTGCTTTGGCGTTGAAGATGTTGCTGCTTGGGTTTTTGATTTAAAGATTTGGGATTGGGCGTTTGCGTTCTTGGTCGAGAAAGACGTTCTGCACAAACAGAAAGCCCAACAAAAAGTGCACGGTTCGGCTTACCATAAACCCGTCTTACTCCCCCGGCCCTACCAATCGAGATGCTAGTGTAGTTGAAGCAGCCGCCTTCAGCGGCACCTTATTGGGTTCTATTCTATAAGGGATCCTTTATGTAAGGGCTCCTTCAAGGGCCCAAAGGTCCTTGAAGGGGCTCTGTTCCTTTAAGTAGGCGCTCCCTTACGGGTCTACGGTTTCGGGTCTAGGATTTAGGCTTTAGGGCTTGGGGCACCTTAACCCTTCAACTGCAACTAACATCACGAGCTCCAAAAACCTGCGAAGCAATAAAACCTCCCTGAACTTACTAATTGCCTCTGAAGAAAACCCTAAAACACTAAAGGACAAGCCGAAAACTTAACAATACCATCAAATTCGAGCTAAAGCCTCAAAAAAGCCCCCAAACAGCAATTTCCGAGATCCGAGGGGCTCCGAGTACGCTTGCATCTGCGAGTTGTGCGCCCTGGTTTGCCGTTCAGGGTTCAGAGCTTAGCACTTCTGGCGTGACGGTGTCGAGTGCACGGGGCTTAGAGTTTAGGCTGGTTAGGGTTTCCGGCTCTTCTTACTCTGTTGAAAAATTCATAAAAAAAAATCCTTTGAGCATCCTGAATGCTAACATCCTGAAGCCCTGCAACCCGAAACCCTCGACATAAACCCTGAACCCCCGATCTCCAAACCCCTAAACCCCTAAACCCCTGAACCCATAAACCCATAAACCCATAAACCCATAAACCCCTAAACCACTAAACCCCTAAACCCCTAAACTCATAAACTCATAAACCCATAAACCCCATCAACCCCAAAACCTGCCGCCCCAAACCCGAAACCCAAAGCCCTGACCCCGGCAAAGCCCCTGCAGCCACGGCTCAGCTTCTGCATCTTCTCCAGTTTCTCGGTATCCCAGAGCAGCGCCCAAGCTGAGAAATACCTGACCGATATAGGGTGGGTATAATGAGAGTTTATCGTTTAGGGTTTAGGGTTCAGGTTTTAGGGTTTAGGGTTTCGCGTAGAATCTCTGAAACCTAAACCTTGACGACCCATGAACCCGAAATCCTAAACCCGAAGAGGGTACGGTTTGTGATCTAGCGGTGTAGGCGCTACCTGCAACCCCCGGAAGCCTTCACAGTAGCAGGCCATCACCTGTCACTCTCATGGTGGAACCCCGAACTGTAGGCTCAACCCCGAATCCCAAAAGCCTCCAGCCAAAAACCATAATCATACCACGACCCACCCCCCCCCCCCCCCCCCCCAATTACGCACTCACACAAATGCATACACACACACACACCCAAAAAGCGACAACACATATAAACATCTACATCTATATAGAGAGAGAGATAGGAGAGAGAGTAGAGAGAGAGAGAGAGAGAGAGAGAGAAAGAGAGAGACGAGAGAAGGTTGCTGTGGTGCCTGGGACATACAGAGCAACTCTCCACACGGTTGTATGCAACAGCACAGAATCCATCAAGAATCCTGAAGACACCGAGTGGCATACCCCTCTCCCATTTATTCCGTCCGTGGGAAGGACCAGCCCTAGGTCCTACGGTTGATGATATGCATCGTGCTTTACCTTAATGTCCCTCGACTATGGGAATTATGGCACATTCCTGACTATTGCTGTTAATGCAGGATTTACATCATCAACCGTAAGGAATGATATTCTGATATTCCATCAGTCTTCCTCTATGATACTTCCGGCGAGGCGCTCATTCAGAATGACCCGAGTCCTTTTACAGCCCATGCCATCGAGAGCTCTGGCGATGCGTTCGTTGCCTCGGGTCACGGCCACCTCCTACGGAGAAGAATGCCCAAAATCCCCAAAACCCCCAAACCCAAAGCCCAAAACCCAAACCCCTGACAGTGGATTTTGTGGGGCTTTGTGGGGTTACAGGGAACTCCAGAAAGTTGGAATATGGTTTCATGGTAGGATACCCTATAATTTACCATAGAAGGGTTAGGATAATCATATTTTAACTTTCTGGCTTTTACCTTATGGGGTCTGAGGTTTTGGAGTTTCAGCCTTTAAGTTTGCTTGAAGCCTCGGGGAGCTTGGGGTCGGCAGCTAACGTGTATCAAAATTAATGCACCGGCAACCCAAAGTCCGCGGTATCTCTTCTTAGAAGCTGCCCCCACCCTGTAATAGTGACTATAAGGATTATATAGGATTAAATTAGGGCCCTATTATATTCCTATTATACCACTATTACAGGGTGGGGGCAGCTTCTAAGGTATCTCGCAAGTGGGCTAATATAGGGTCCTTGATAATCTAAACAGGGCACCTCCACAGGAAAACTCCTTAAAGTTGGACACCGGATTAAGGTGGGATTCCCTATACGTTACTTTTAAGTAGTCAGGCCATTGGGTTTCCAACTTTGGGGCTTCTACTGTAAAGGGGTCTATGAGGGCTACAGTAAGGGCTGTTATCAGGGTTTAGTCTAGGGGCCTGAATAATTCGAATAGGGCTTTGGGGCCAATTATTTAGGCCCCCATGGTATTGTATGTTAAAAGTTATGCTAGCCCCATCTAGCAACCCAAGCCCTGAACACGGAGCCTTGGAATGGATACTCTGTACCCGAAACCCTAAATCCGCAAGCGCTCATCGCAACCCACACACCACTGAGCAAGGCCGAATCTACGATGTCATCCATCCATGAATTCCCCGGGCTCCCAGATGTACGCTCAGCAAAACCAGAATTCAAAAGAAGACCTAAAAGACACTCACCAACGCCCTAAACCCATGTCTTGTACAGTTTCACAGTTCAGAGAATTGTATGGCATGAGGCTCTGGCTGTCGGCACTACCTGAACCGTGGCCACACTTGTTCTCGTTGCAAATATTATTGGAGTTGTTATTGCTTGTCGCTAATTCAGTGTTATCACGATGATTTCTCAAAGCCCCTAAGCCCAAACCCTAAACCCCAAAAAAACCCAAAACCCCAAAAACCCTAAACCCCGAACTTGCCATCATGCTATTCGAGGCTCGTCTGTTTTCTTCTTGCTCACGTTGCAGCTCCATTTCCTCCCAGCATACCCGAAACCGAAGCGTCAAGGGACCTACCTTAAGACCTGCTGCAGGGATTTTAAGGACTAGAATAGGGCTTTGACTTAGTTGCTGAGTTCATAAGCACCAAAAAATGTACACTTTCAGGCTTATAGTGGGTACTATTATCCCAAAAAGTGTAAAATGTATCCACTCAGCTACTGAGCCGAAACCGAAGCGTCAGGGCTCAAAAGGGAAAGCTCTGGAGGCGCCTTTCGGAGGGCTTGTTTAATATTAAGGGCCTTAATAGTTAGAAAAGGGCTCCTTTAAAGGGGTCCTTTAAAGGTACTATGAGGAATCTAGGGGCCGTTATAACTAGAATGGGGTTTTGGGGGGCCCAGTATACCAAAAATTTAATAAGGACCCCCCAACATAGTATAGTATAGGCGTTTATTACTTGGACCCATCTTTGTGGGCTTAGGGTGCGGGGCTCCAAGGGTCGGGATTCAAGGGGTGTTGGCCCTTACCTGGAGCCCTGAAGTATGCAGACCCAGACCCCCGGGAGGATCCAAAAAGTAGCTCCCTTAATGGTGGCTCCTATAAAGTACCCTTAGTAGTATAGGGGCCCTAAATTAGGGGATCTAGCCCCGTGATCCGCTCTCCTCGAGCGCGACCAGGCGCTCCCGCTCCGCTTCTTCTCGGGCTCTCTCGCCTGGCACCGGGGCTTCGAAAACGGTTTAGGGTTTAGGGTTTAGGGTGAAGCTCGGGGCTTTTGGGATCAACTGACCAGTGGTTTTGGGGTTCCCTTGGCTCTTTAGCTCCCTATTTAATGGCGATTATCATCATCCCTGGCTCCTTAGCTCCTCCGATATCAATGGTTTGTTAATTTGTGGTTGTTGGGATTTAGGGTTTTTGGGGTTTAGGGTTCAGGGTTTAGGGCATACGTCCGTGAAGGCTCTATTTGGCTTCCGGATCTTTTTTGGTGTTTAGGGTTAGATTTTCAAGGGTTCTACACTGGTTCTAACAAGGTTGTTTGCGAGCTCTGGAAGCAGATTCTAGAAGGGTTCATTGAAGGTTCTTTCAGGTTTCGATTCGTGGTTTTCAAGGCCTGCCTTGAGCACACGTTCGTGGAGGCGTTAGGATTTTAGGTGTAGGTTTTTGCAGGCTTCAAGATCTTTGACACGACTCTGGAGATGTAGCAGCCGTTCTACGAACAGTACCACAGTCATGGGTTGCAAAATATGGAGCTGGGTTCAGGACCAAGAGTTCAGGGCTTGGGGTTCGAGAACGTGTGGGGTGTAGGGTTTCGGGCTTGAGTGTAGGGCGTAAGGACAAGAACTCAGAGCGTCCTCTTGCTGAATTAAGCGCTACACCCACACACCCGAGAGCCAGGTTTATGGTTCAGAGTTTAGAGCCCTAAACCCCTAAACCCTAAACCCCTAAACCCTAGGCCAACAAACCCTGACGAAGCACTGAATCGTGCCATAGTCACACTCAGACAGCCCTACCTACTTGTCGGGTATCATGAGAACCTTAAGTTTTACCTTTGTGGTTCTGTAGGGGTTATATAGGGACTATACTACCCAAATAAAGGTTACCTACTCTACTACTAGGCCTAAGTAAACTTGGCAGCTCCGCCCATCGAGAGGTCATGCCAGGCTCGGTACGCCATGCCTCACAGGTGGGGTGTTGTCTAGGACGTGGGGTTTGGGCTTCAGCAGCGCATTAGGGTCTAGAGTTTAGTTCAGGGCTTAGGGCCCTAACCCTAAACCCTAAACCAAGGGCTTAGGGCCCTAAAGCCTAAACCCTATCGGGCCCCAGGATTCCATACTCCCTATAGCCCTAAGCCCTGCGAAGCCCTACGAAGCCCGAAGCCCCGAACACCAAACCCGAAGGGCTGAACCCGAAACCCTCACCCTAAACCTCAAAACTCGAAAATCTGTGCACTTTACTCTCTGCACTGCCAGTTTCGGGCTCCCAACACCGAAGCCACAGAGCTGTCAATCTCTTTGAGGGTTTAGGGTTTAAGGGTTCTGCTATGAGGGTTCTTTAAAGGCTTAGGCGTTTTCGGTTGAGGGCATTGGACCAAACCTCCGAAATGCCGGAATGGTCGCCGAGTGGCCCATAAGCACAGGGCCCTGCTTCCCGGCAAAGGCTTCCGCAGCCCTGCGTCGAGCGAATCGATGCTTCTTGCTTTCGGGCATAAGGGACTGAAGTACTAGGTTCATTAGAAGCCCCGTTTTTAATAAGAGTACCCTGTTTCCGACTATTCGGTTTTCATAAGGGAACCCTAAGAGAAAAAAGGCAAAATGGCACCACACAGGAACCTAGATTAGCATGTTTCGGGATATGGGAGTTTCCGAAAATAGGGGACCCTACTATTAGTACCCCAAATAGTAGGATCCTTACTATAAGGCTATATGGACCCCTAAACAAAGTACCCCTAAGTTTCGGAAACTCCCATATGAGCCTCGGGCTATTTGATTTGCTGCTCTAGCCTCGAAACCTGACCCGACAAACGGGCCGAACATTAGAGCATTATCGTCACGGCTCACCCTAAACCCTAAACCCCCTAAACCGCTGAAGCCACTAAACGCTGAAGCCTAAACTAACCGTACACCCCGAACCCGACACCCACCGGTCGGAGCTGCAGCTTGGACGAGGCTTTCGGCCGTTGGGGTCATGGGCTCCCTCTGCCGTGAGGTTCCTGAACTAGGGCCCCAAAAAAGCACATAAGCAAAAATTAGGATAGTGATATCCCATATAGAACCCCCTTGTAATGAAGCCCAATACGGTAGGGATATCCCTATAAAATGCTTATGCTTATGTGCTTTTTGGGTCCCTGATCAACACCTGAAGAGTCTCGTGGCTAAGGACTCAGTTTACGGGTGTGTTGCTGTTTCGGGCTCATGTGTCGGGGTCTAGGATTCAGGGTTCTGGGGTTGAGGCTTCAGGGTTCTGGGGTTTAGGGTTTAGGGGTTTAGGGTTTAGGGTTTCAGGGTTAGGAGTGAGGGTTGGAGGCTGTTTAAGCTCTCGGGTCTTCCACCGTGTTCAGGCTCCTAGCAGGGAACATGCAAGTCTCGCTTTCAAGCAACAAGAGTTCCAAACCCTAATGCTAAGCCCTAAAACGTAAGTAAGGCTCCCAGGGTTTGGGTCCAGGGTCTAAAACGTAAGGCCGTACCTCCTGCACGGGGAACCCCTTTTTCCCCGGAAGCCTAACCTCCAAACACCCTTAACCCCTAGGCCCCAAACCCTACGCCCCTAACCCCTAGACCCTTAAATTCCTAAATCCCTACACCCTAACCCCTAGACCCTTAAATTCCTAATCCCTAAACCCCTAACCCCTAAACCCTTAAATTCCTAAATCCCTAAACCCCAAACCCCCTAACCCCTAACACCTAAACCCTTAAATCCCTAAATCCCTAAACCCTAAGCCCCTAACCCCTAGACCCTTAAATTCCTAATCCCTAAACCCCTAACCTCTAGACCCTTAAATTCCTAAATCCTTAAACCCCAAACCCCCTAACCCCTAAACCCTAAATCCCTAAACCCCAAACCCCCAAACCCCAAGCCCCTTAAATTCTTAACTCCCTAAACCCCAAACCCCTAAACCCCCGCAGCCCAAGCCCTCTTCTGCCTCAGCATCTGGACTTCTTGCTTCTTCATGGCCTGGTCCCTGGCGAGACCCTCTGCAAATAAGGCAGATGGGTGGTTGGCAAAATTATGATCCTTTTTAACCCGAAGGGTCCAAGTACCCAAATAGTAGGGTTTCAAGGTCCAAAAACCATTCAGGGTCTGGATTTTGGGATCTAAAACCCCTACTATTTGGGTACTTGGACCCTCTGGGTTAGGTGTCTATTATAATACGGCACCTATTATTTAGGGGTACCCAAAAAGGTACCCTTATTTTGACAACCACCCATATAAGGTACCTAGGGTTTAGGGTTTGGTGGTTTAGGGTTGAGGGGTTTACGGTGTAGGGATTTGGGATTTAAGGCTTTAGGGTTTAGGGTCTATGAGGGTGGTGAATATGGGCCCTAACAGGCCTCTATAATTACTATGTAAGGCATGTGAGGTTACTATGAAGGAGTTCAATGTGAGTTTTGGAAGACTTCCATGATTGCAATGAGGTCAATGGGCTCATTTTTGGCAAGGTTAGAACTTGTGGTGTGTCAAGTTCTCTTCGTAGACCCTGGTGAGAACGGTATGTTGTCGGCATGCTGGCTTCCTACGACGAAAACAGGCTTCAGTTTGGGTAACATGACACCTGACACGGGGCTCGTCATAGCCTACGGCTTGGCGACCTTGGGATTTAGGATACCCTAGACCCCAAACCCGTTTGGCCCTAAACCCTAAAGGCCCTGAACCCTAAAGGCTCTAAACCCTAAACCCTGAAGGCCCTAAATCCTAAACCTTCACCCAAATCCTACATCAAATTCTTCCATCCTAGGACGACAACGAGCCCCGAAGACCAGCGAAGGTGGAACACGGAACCCGACTGGGAGAGGCGGATGTGGGTAGTTCTCTAAATTCGGGTCCCCTTTTAGGGCTCCTTAGACGGATCCATAAGGGCTTATATGAGTTTTTTATCTCTCTAGGTCAGGGTCCTTGTTTAGATCTCTAAACAGTACGGCACCTTGTGAAAAAAGGGACCCTGAAAGGGATCTTAATTTAGAAGCTGCCCATATACAAGAATTCGAAGCTTCGCGCTTCACAAACCCACAAACCCATCACACAGGAGTCTTTATGACTTTGGAAAGGGTTTTTGGTGGTATCTTGTGCCAATAGCTATACTAGGAACCCCGAATAGCATCAGAGTCGTTGACTTTTCAAGCTCCTATATTTATCCTTGAACCCCAAACCATAAAAAACACAAAAAATCTAGGTTTTGTTCACAGTCTCAGGCTGGCGCCCTAAACCCTAAACCCTAAAGCCTAAACCCAGGCTGGCAAGCTGCAGGCCCGCTTGCAGGTCCATCATCTTTTGCCTGAGCAGTGGAGCGCAGGACATTGGAGTTCAGGTTTCAGTGATTTGGGTAGTTGTCAAAATTATGGTCCCTTTTTGGGTACCCTAAATATTAGGTGCCGTATCGTATTAAGAAGAAGGAACCATAATTTTGACAACCACCCATTTGGGTCTAAGGTTTAGGATTTGTGGGCCTCAGGGATTACCGGTGCCACACAAGAGTACTGGGGAAACCCCCTGCAGAATCCCAGAAAACAATACGTAGGTCCGTTGTGGCTCCAGGCAGACCCTACACCACCTCAAAACATGCGCAGCAACCCATTACTCGGTAGCTTCCGCCGTTTGCTGATTATGCCTGCCATAAGGGTTGAGACAACTACAGTTCTTCTCTTGGTAGTTTTCGGCTGAGGGTTCAGGGTTCTCATGGTAGGCCGATCTACCTCTAAGAAGTCTATGTTCAGGGCTCACCTTAACCCGGTAAAGCCCTACCGTTTTCAGGACCTGCTTAAAGCTATCATGATAAGGAACCCTAACAAGGTAAGTTGTTCAGGGTTAAGGTAGGGCTTAGACAGTTTAGGGATCTCTACTTGGAGGGTCGGGGGACTGAGTAAGTAGTTATCTTAGGGACTTATAAGTACCATAACCCCAATTAGGGTCCCTTTTAGGGTACTTCTAAGTCTACTTACTACCTACTTACTAAGTCCCTAAACCCTAAACCCTATAGTACCCCTATAGAGCCCTTTAAAGGAACTTATAACCCTTTACAAAGAGCCCCTACTTACTAAGTCCCCCGACCCTCCAAGCAGGCGTAAGCTCCAGCCCTGACTGGAGACTCGACCCAAACCCTAAGCCCCAAACCGTAATCCGTAAGCCCTAAACCCTAGTAAACCCTAAGCCCTAAGTCCTAAACCCTGAACCCAAAACCAAAGCCCTAAGCCCACACCCTACCGTGGGATCCGAAAACCTACCGTTTTAAGGGTTGAAGGGGTCATAACCTACTATTTTCTAGGGTTTGGGGCCACAGGTATACCCTAGACCCTAAAAACTCGCCCCCTAGTAAACCTTAGGCCCTAAGTCCTAAACCCTGAACCCAAAACCAAAGCCCTAAGCCCTATACCCCAGACCCTAAAAATTCGCTGCAACTCGGCTGCTGCTGCTGTTCATGCAGCCGCTGCTGCTTCGCCTCGAAGCGCACGTAGTTCATCCAGGAGTTCACACCTGAAGCCACCATTCAAGGCTTAGGGGCTTAGGGCTTAGGATTTTGGGTTCAGGATTTAGGGTTTAAGGCTCGTTGCAAGATTCAAGAGGGTTCATAGAAGGTGCTTGTAGGATTGTTATCGTACTTGCGGGCTTTTGTAGGGATCTTAGTGTGGGGTTTTAGTGTTTAGAGTCTTGTGTCTGTTTTAGGCTTGCGGATTTAGGCTTACTTGAACTACTATTTGCTTAAGAACCCGCAAAAAAGAAAAAACATGATAATCCCTATATTATCCCTATAAGGAATATACTTTTTATTTTGGGGGGGGGGGGGGGTCTTAAGCAAATAGTAGTGAAGGATCAGTAGGCTTGAAAACTGGAGTATAGGCTCGCTGAGATCAGCCTGGTCAGTTAATATACGAGCCTCAATAATTAGAATCGGGTTTTGGGGGTTCCTTAGTAGAATTATAGTTTAATATACCCCCATACCCTATTAAATACAATTTAGGCCCCTATTACGAGGGATCAAAATAGCCCAAAAGCCTTATGTAGTATGGTCTTTGGGCCCAAAATCCTTAATACATGAGTCCTTAGACCTTTAGGGTATAGTGTGAGCCTCCCGGCCGACCCAGACCCAGAACAAACACTGAGCCTTTGCCTTTGCGAACACCGATCTTACAAATACTCAGTCTTCACTAGGGTTTAGGGTTTTAGGGTATAGGGTATAAGGGCTTTAGGGTTTAGGGTTTAAGGGTTTAGGGTTTAGGGCACTGAAAACCCGATCGGTGGACCTAAGCTCGAAAAGCCCTCTTCAACAGCGCTGGGTGGCAAGAATACAGCAGACCGCGCTGGTCGCTGAGGATGAAACCTGGGCGGGATGACAAGGGTTCGGGGCTTACTATCATGCCTACTATTGCCACTACCATGTACTTTCAGATAGCAGCAGGAGTAGCCGTCGTCGTCGCTATGAAAGCCAAACAAGAATTCTGACTTGAGATTAATGCATTAACTGAGTAAATCCCGAGCCATAATACAGGTCTATACCTGACTTGGGGGGCGTTGAACTCTCTGCTCTTTTGGCACCACCTCTTGCCGCTAGGAGACGCATGACTGACTCCTTGACGCTCCTTGGCATCGCATGGAGGGCTGGCAGGACCCGTTACACCGTAAGCTCTAAAACCTGCAGCCCTGAATACTAAACCCTAAGCCCGAAAACCCTGAGCAACACCCCGAAAAATGGCCTTAGACTATAAAACCCACAGCATAATACGACACGTTCGCTTGTAGTGACTGGTCGCTTGTAGTGACTGCGGCGTTAGCAACTACTTGGAGGATCCTGGGACTTAGTAAGTAAAGTTATAAATACCTTAATTGGGCTATAAGCAATCATAAGTATAGCCAGCTTATTTACAACCTTATACTTACTAAGTCCCATGATCCTCCAAGTATGACCTGGCGTATGAAGACCATGCTATAATTAGGGTAACTCCGTTTAGGGTACTTATAACCCTTCTTCTAACCTTACTTTCTACGTCCCATGATCCTCCAAGTAGGGTTTAGAGCTCAGCGGCGATCCGGTGGAAGCCTCGGGGTATACATCCGCAAGATTTTCAAGGGGACTGCTGGTAGTTGCTGGGTTCATAAGCCCCAAAAAGTGTACACTTTCAGTTTTGTAGTGGGTAATATTATCCACAAAGGTGTAAAGTGTATCCACTCAGCTACTGAGCTTTATCGGGTTGTCTACGGCCGTACGGCGGGGTCAAAGGGCGTGCCGGGGGAGTGTTGCCTTCAGAAGGTTTGTGCCGAACGTATGTGGGGTCTCCCCCCCTTACTTGAAGTCGCAGGGACTTTGCATTTACAAGTGGGCCAACCGGCTAGAGCCACGATAGCCCATACCCACTACTTACGGAATGATGTCGTGATCATTCACAGTCAGATTGGAGTTCCGAAGCTTGCGGCTTCAGCATAAGATCCCTAAACCTGAAGCCCCAATTCGACCATGATCCTGAAACCCTAACCCTACACAAACCCGGGCAGCGAAGGGCAGACTACCTGCAGGTGAACAGGCCCAATCCCAGAGTTTAGGGTTTATGTAGGGTTTAGGGCAGAGACCCCGGATTTCGGGGTTCGGGTTTTGGGTTTCGGGCTGAAGGTTTCTAGGGTTGTAGGGTAGGGGGTTAGATGCCAGTTGACCCGAGATGGCCTTTGAGACAAGCTCTACGGCGCTGACACTGCGAAACATTGAACCCTTTGCGGCTCAGGGCGTGGCGGGCGTTGCGGTTCAGGGGTGCAGTATGCAGTTCTCCTTCCTTAACAAGTTTGGGGCCTAGGCCGCAACCTTACGGCTTTAGACTAAAGTCCTAAACCGATTGGAGTTGCCGAGGTGCTCTCTCTCCCCTAACCTTACACCCAAAGCCGTCCAGGGCACTCTCTCTGCATAGCGGCCTGCTTGCCTTCTTGGATGAAGGTGATCCAGTCCTGCCGAGCTCTCGGGTGAGTTTAGGGTTTAGCATCCGGATTACGGCTTGGGGTTAAATCAGGACGGCGGGCGTCTTGAAAGTACGGCTAAACGTCGGGGGACCGTTTAGAGTTTCGAGCAAAGTTGGGACAACCCCAAACCAAACCTCGAACCCGGATATGGGTTGTACTTCAGCATGAGGGTAAAAACTGTGCTTGTCATGGAGATCGAGCATCCAAAGGGCACTTCGTGATGGGCCATCAAGGGATTATATTCCTACCCCGTTATATTCGCTTTGTATTTTAATGAAGCCTGTTATTAATATCTAGATATGTATGCCAAAAAGTTCAGAAAATCCTATTCAAAGGATTATGGCACCTACAATGTACAACCCTTCAATATCCTAGTGAACAGCATAGCCGATGAAAAACCCACTCAACATTTGAAAACACTAGGCAAACCTAGAATCACCTAAAAACCCAATAAACAGCTATGCAACTAGTTGTGTATGTATGCATACACACATACGAAGATATTAAGCGTGCGTGTCTACGTGTATAGATCTGCATTTTTGCATACAGATGATTCTGTTCCAACCACTTTACGAACTTATGAACCGCTAAATCCTGAGGGCCCCTTGTGGAGGGAAAAGGGTCGGCCTGCCAGAACTGCTTCAGCATGCCGACGCGATCACCTCCCAGCCATTTCCTGCATTTAAGGGCTACAAAAAAATTTTTTACAATCTTGCTATGAACTTTCTGGGATTTTAGCAAGGTTTCTATACTCCCTTTTATTGGCGTCGACTAGGCTTCTGTCGGGTTAGTGTTTGTTTAGTGGCCAGAACAAGCGAATAGACTTTCGAAGGAGTCTATCCGAGAGGAATCGGATTGAGGACCCTTGCGGAGCGGTAGTGCCAGAAGTTTACCGGATTGTAGGTTAAGGGCTCCCAGACGATCCCTTTCTGACATATACGAAACCTTGGCACTCCGGGCTTTGACGCTTTAGGATGTCTTTGGAGGTTCTGGGGTAGTTATAAGTGGGGTTTTAAGCCCCCTAATCTGGGTTATAAGTATGGCTACCCTACTTATGACCCTACTTATAACTGCCCATGAACCTCCAACTAGGTCCCTAAACCCTATACCCTTATAGAATCCCTATAGATACCTTTAAAGGGACCCTTACAGGAGCCCTACTTATAGCTGCCCATGAACCTCCAAGTCAGCATGTTTTTTAGGGCTTCGGGGTTTAGGGTTTAGGCCAGGGGTTCAGCGGGTTCAGAGTCCAGGGACGCCAGCATGGTCGTTCGGTTGGTTCGCGGACGGCACAAAAAGCACGGCAAATTGCAGCCCAGCTTCTTTAAAACCATCTGCGTGGCATGCTGGGCACGCGCCTGGAGCTTTCGGTGGGCGCGGGGAGGCGAATCTAGGTGTTGTAGGCTCTTGCGCTATACTCACTTGAAAACAGACTGTAGACGGACCCTGCAGTCATTGGCGGTACGCTCAGGATGCGACACGCCCCCCGCCCCCTGCCCAAGACTCCAAAACTTAAATCCACCAACCCCCCTCCAAACCCCAAAACCTTGCAACACAAAATGCTCATCAAAAAATCCTACCATCAGCTGAAACAGCCCTAAAAAGGAGGCTGAACCCCAAAATACCCGAATGTTCACTGTCGGGGCCAACAGGTTCACTAGTTCTTCTTAAAGACCAGGTCACAGGGCCTCCTCTTACATGAGCAGTTGTCAAAATAGAGATCCCGTTTGGGTACCCTAAATAACAGGTGCCGTATTCTATTAGGGACCCCAAAAGGGATCATAATTGTGACAACCACCCATGTAGGAGTTTGGGTTCTATATAAGGGACTCTGAAAGGGTTCAGTTTCGAATCTTTTTGGAGGATCCTGGGACTTAGTAAGTAAGGTTATAAGTACCTTAATTCGGGTTATAAGTAATTATAAGTATAGTTGGATTATAACCTTACTTACTAAGTCCCATGATCCTCCAAGTAGGGTGTTAGAGTTTCGGGTTTTTGGCTTCCGGGTGTCAGGGTCTAGGAGTTTAGGCTTCAGGGGCTTTGTGAAGGTTCAGGATGTCGGATTGAAAGGTAGGGTTCAGGGAGAAGGGATCAGGATCTACTCGTGATTCGAAGCCTTCCCAAAAAAATTGAACTTCTGGTCCACTTTACTTAGTGACCCCGTGCACCCGGTTGCTGCGTTTCCTGGAGCAATATACGTTGACCTCTTGCAAATCCTTTAGAGATTATAGTTAGGATGCTATAACTACTGTCGGCTGCAGATGGGTACTATACTTACATTAGGAACCCCACGGGGTGATGTTGATTTTTATTAGTTATTCGGGCCCCCATATTCATGCGGCTTCCGGTAGGTTAAACCTCGGTTACCTGCTCGGCTACGACACAAGCCTCGAAACTCCCAACCTTGAACCTTGAACCCGAGAGCCACAAGCCTGAACCCTCAAGATCCTCAACCCTCAACCCTGAAACCCCTCCACCATCAACCCTCAACCCTACAACCCCAAACCCTGAAAGACTACAAACCCCCGCATCCCTGGATCAGGCTCACTGGGTTTAGGGTCTACGGATAGGGGCAATCAATCAGTAGGGTTTTGGGACAGATTCTGCTAGAACTAAATGGGCTATAAGGGACTGTTGAAATTGTTCAGACCGCATATGGGTGGTTGTCAAAATCATTATGGTTCCTTTTTGGTTTGGGTCCCTATTATGCTAAGGTACCCATTATTAAAAAAAAAAAAAAAAGGGACCCTAATTTTGACAACCAACCATATGTTAAAAGACAAACCTCGCATACGGCTGATGATATAAATCCTGCATGACCCAAAATAAAGGATATACCATAACTCCCATAGTTTAGGGTCATTAAGGTAATGCAGGGTTTAAATCATGAACCGTATGTACCCGGCCTTGGCGGAATCACCCGCGGCTTGCAACTGGCATCGTCAGGGATGAAGAACTAGAGACCGGGAGTATAGGGTTTAGGGTTTAGGGGTTTAGGGTTTAGGGTTTAGGGTTCAGGAAGTTTAGGGTTTTGGGTTTAGGGGTTTATGGTTTAGGGGTTTGGGGTTTACGGTTTAGGGGTTTAGGGTTTAGGGTTTAGGGAGTTCCTGGGCTTTGGTAGCATATCGGCTTCAGGCCCACTGCAAGCGACATCTACCCAAGCACAAACACCAACACTGGGACCTGAAGCATTCGGAAACATATCTCACCCAAATAGCAGATTGAAAGAAGGCAAGACTGAGTGCAAGACTGAGTTGTTCTTGGAGGCCCTTGTTGCCATTTTTGAGGGGTTTAGGGTGTAGAGTCTGGCATTTCCAACTCGCATACTGCACGAAAACTGACACTATGCCCCTTTGGGTTCTATATGAACGAAAACCTTAAAGATTCTTCCGCCTAAGGAGACGATAGGACAGGGCTGTCAAGAAAGGCTAGCGTCGGCGTTTCCTCGCTCCGGTGTGCTGCAGGGGCCTTCATGATTAGACTAGGGCTTTGGGGCGGAAAGAAATAGCAAACCCTCAGTATGAAACCTTGCAGAACATTTTTTCTTGTTGAGGCTTACGGCCCTATGGATAAGGAAAATATTTTTTTGCCTGAAGGTTGCCAGTGCGAGCGGCACTGTGACTATTCTCGCTGCCTGATTTTGGCTTCAGGGTTTAGGGCTTTGCGGGTTTACTCTGGACCCGAAACCCTGAATACAAGTAGAGGGTTGCCAGAAACTCAACCACCCCTTTTGGGGGGTTTAGGGGTTGAGGGTTTAGGGTTTAGGGGTTTAGAGTTTAGTCCGAGACTGGAAAATGACATCAGGATTCTTCAACGGTCAACAACCTACATTCAGAAAGGAACACGAGCAAAGTCGACACAGACGCTGTAACGCCTAAAGCCTTGAACCCCTAGAGCCTAAATCAAGAAACTCATGAACCCTAAACGCTACACCCGGATCCTTAAAGTTCCTTAACAACGGCTCATGTTATAAATCCTGCATTACCCATAATAAGCAATGTACCATAATTCCCATAGTCCAGGGTCATCAAGGCAATGCAGGGTTTAGATCATCATCCGAAGCACGCCTACAAGACTGCCCCGACCCGCAACACAGCCGTTGGGTACCTGCAGCAGGTGCTTCTGAAGCTCGGCCTCTTTCTCCTGAGAGTGTAGGGTCTACTGAAGGTTGCTTGAAGGTTTCGATCAATGTAACGTTTGACACGGATCTGTAAGGGGGTTGGGGTTCAGGCTTCGAGGTTCAGAGTTCAGAGTTTAAAGTTTAGGGCTTGGCGTATGCCTTAAATTAATTGCTGCCTTTCATAATCCTCGGGCCATAAGAATTAGGATAGGGTTGTCGTGCATATTCTACTGTACCTATACAGGGACTATAAGGGAATACTAGGCCCCATTTGTTAAGGTCACCAAATTACAACAGCTCCCGAGCACTCGAACTTAACCTCACCCACAACCGCGAAGCCGGAAACGGCTGTATGCCATCGAATCCTCAAGCTCAAACTCCTTCATGTAGGAACCCTTGGGCCTTTATTCGGTTTCTGCAGGGTTCCTTTAAGGGTACGATAAGGGTACTATGCGGGTTTAGGGGGGTTTGGTATAGGAACCTGATTAAGAAACCTTGGGCCTTTATTGGGGCTCCTGATATGAATCCTACTATTTTGGGGTTATAGGCCCAGGGTTTCTTAGTCAGGTTCTTACATTACCCCCTTAACCTCATTCCAAACCTTAAAACTCCAAGCCCCAAGGGATTCCTTAATATGAACCCTATTATGGGAACCCTAATCCCTACTAAACCCCCATGGGCTAAAAGTTATAAGTCCTTAATATGAGTTATAAGTATAGTTACCCTACTTATAACCCTACTTGTAACCACCCATGAACCTTCAAGTAGGTCCCTAAACCCTATACCCTTATAGAATCCCTGAAAACCCCTTTAAAGGGACCCTTAGCTAAAACCGCTTTTGGCCTCCTATGACCCAAGAACTTCAAGGCGCGCCTGCAGGGACGCGGCCAGCTTTGCGTTCGCCTGGCTTTCCCGAACCCCCTTTCAATGATCCCACAGTTGGAACCGTGAAGAGATCTCATTTAACCTAGGTTAAGCTATGACAGTAATTAGGGTGTATACTCTTTCGGGGGCTTCTAGAAATTAGACCCTAAACCCTACTACACCCTAAACCCTTGAAGGGTGTGGCTTGGACTTTCGGGTTTGGGACCTGAAGGAGGCGAAGCGTTCGGTCGTCAGAGCGGAACCACCCGGTGCCGGGGGCTACCCTAAACCTTACTCCCTTAAACCGTAAACCCTAAACCCCTAAACCCTAAAACCCCGCACTTTTACGGCCTGAACCCTGAAGCCTAAGCCATCCTAAAGCCTAAACGCTGAACTGCTAAGCCCCTGAACCCTGCAGCCTAAACCATCCTAAACGCTAAACCCTATAGACGCTGAAGCCTAAAATCGTTCCAGTCTGCCTGCTTCTCGTCTTCCTCCCGCTTCCTCATCGCCTTCTCGTCTTTTGTGAGCATGTGCCTGGGTCCAGGGTTTAGGGCTTCGGGTTTTAAGAATTCCGGGTTTAGGGTTTTGGGTTTTAAGGGTTTAGGGTTTAGGGTTTGAGGGTTTAGGGTTTTGGGTTTCAAGTGTTCAGGGTTCACGGTTTAGGGTTTAGGGTTTGGGCTTTAAGGGTTTAGGGTTTGGGGTTAAGGGTTAAGGGTTTAGAGTCTAGAGTTTAGGGTTTAGGGTTTGGGGATTAGGGTTTTCGGGTTTGGGGTTTGGGGTTTTGGGGCATAGGGTTCCTCGCTATAACAAGGGTATTATTACTGCAGTTCTACAGGGTTCAAACCACGGGTTCAGGTCTTAAGGTCTTAGTTAGAAGCCCAGGCGACTTAGTAAGTAGGTTATAAGTAGAGTTATAAGTATCCTAAATGGAGTTGCCCCACTTATACCCCTACTTATCACCTACTTACTATGCCCCCTGGGCCTCCAAGTAGTTTAAGGATGCAGGTTTCAGGCCATGGGATCGAGGGTATCGAAGGAGGGGTAGGTGGACAAAGCAGCCTCAAATTGAAGTACCCGGGTGCTTTCAAGAAGAAAACCTATGTGTGCGAGAAACAGGGGCCCCGCAGCCTCCCTGTGTGCTCCGTTCCTTATTCAAACCCTGAACCCCTAAACCCCTAAACCCAGGCCTAAGCTTCTTCCCTAAACCTCGCCGGGTTGCCAATTGAGAAGGGCCGTCTTGGCGGCACCCTTGGCCTGGACCGAGGCTGTTAGTGCGTGTTCAGAGTTAGGGTTCTCCCTTCTCGGATCTATAAGGGTTCCGTTAAAAGGGATCTACTTTAAGGCTTTGGGGTGCAGGGTTCAGGGATTGCTCGTTTTGAGGCTGGGGTTTAGGGTTCAGGGCCGAGGGTTTAGGGTTCAGGGTTTAGGATGTAATTGGGATTTGGGTGCCGCCAGCGTCTACACTGTGGAGATTTAGACTGCTGAAACGAAATATTGCCAAGGCTAGGGACTGAGGTCGGGGTGTAGGACTGAAATCCCGTGGACCCTCAAAACCTCCACAAAACCCTGCAAATCCCGTCTAAAGGACCCTTATGGAACCCTTTCATTCAGAGACTTATAACTCTTGGATCCTTCGAATTTCTTGGATCGAGGGCGTAGGGCTTCGATTTTGGAACCGACGGGCTTTTGCGGAAGCTGGGGCGCAGGGCTGCTGGGGTTACTTACCTTTGGTAGTAGGGAATGGAAGAATGGTAGTAACAGTAGTTATCATTCTACCTCATTCCTCCATTCCTTTCTTCTTTTCTTCTTTTCTTAATGGAAAAGAAAGAAGACGAAAAGACGAAAAGAAGAAAAGAACTAACCAAAGGTAAGGTTAAGGTTTGGGGTTACTCAGGGCTCAGGGTGAAGGTTTAGGGATTTAGGGTATATAGGGCTTAGGGTTTAGGATTTAGGATCCAACTTCAGGGTTCAGGTTCAGGATTTGGGTTTGGAGATGTTGGGTTCAGGTTTTAAGAGGTTTGTTGGGACTTGTTGGAGTTGTTGATCTTATCTTGGCGCGTCGGACGCTGGATCCACCCTACGGCGCCGGGAAACCTAAATAAACCCTATATCTGCCCTGCGTGCTCTTGCTTGCCCGTCCTAAAACCCGAAACCCCAAACCCTCTCAGCACTTGCCCTCATGCGGAATTTAATGTTTGGCCACCAAACTAGGAATATCAGGCTTTGGTATTGTGAGACCGTATGTCTACATGCAAGTTTATAATACAGACGTATTTACTTACATCATACATGTCCCTAAACCCTAAACCCTATACCCCTATACCCCTAACCCCTAAACCCTAAATCTTATATATATATATATATACACACACACACATATTTTTATTACACCCCCTTCTTATGGACATCTAAACCAAGTCCTCGACCCGAACCTCATTGCAATGAGAAGTGAGGAGCCGGAACTCTCAAAACGAAACCCTCAATACTATAGGGGCCTTAATAATTAGAATAAGGGCTCTTTTAAAGGTATCCTTAGGGTTTAGGGTTTATACAGGGTTTAGGGTGGTTCTATACGGGATCTATAGTAGGGTTCTATAGTATAGGGGCCTTAATAATTGGAATAGGGTTCCTTTAAACGCTTCCTTTAAAGGTGTCTATAAGGATTACTTTAAGGGCTACTATAAGGGTTTAGAGTAGGGGCCTTAGTAACTAGAATAGGGTTTGGCGGTTCATTCTACCATAATTGTAATAAGGAGCCCCCCAAACTAGTATTGGTAATTATTAAGGCCCCTATAGTCGGAATCCTTGAAAAGTAACCCTTTAGCGCAGGATTCCGCAAAAAAACGAGACCCTTTCAAAACGGAAAGCGGAACCCCGAAGAAAGGAAGCCTTAAAAAGGAAGCATTTAACAACGGAACCCCGAAATAGGCCCTTAAAATCCCCCTTATAGAAGCCTTATAGATCCCTTTAAAGGAGCCCTTTAAGGAACCCTCTTGAGGAACCTCGCCCAAGAGCGATTTGGTGAGGGCGGCATGGACTGCCTCGCGAGGGAGCTCGGTCGGGTTTAGGGTTTAGGAGTTAAGGTTTTCATTTTCCTTCAAGGGACTCTGAAGAAGGGGTCAAGGCGTCTAGGAGGTTTCTGCTAAAGTGTGTTGAATTGTGGGCTTTCAGAGATTTCAGAGCTGGTTTCGGGTTTGGGTTTAGGGATTCGGGTCAGTTTTCAGGTTCAAAAGCTCTGAACAGTTGAAGAGCACTGGAAGCCGAAGCCTCGTTCGGGACCCGCGAAAGGCAACCCCAACCCGAACACTTCAAAACACTTTCTGTCAAACCTTGACTCGAAGGCGAAAAGGAGGGACCCTTGGACCCCTAGGTATATACCCTTAATAAAGCTATTATATACCCAACATATAGCCCTATTATAGGGCAGGGGTCCCCATTAAGGGTTCCTCCGTTTCCCCTTTGATTGACTCATTCGAGACAGCTTCGGTCTATCTATCCAGCTCTGCTCGTGCCACGTCTTGACCGGAGCAGATTTCGTCCAGCTGCCGCTCCATACGCATGGAAACTGGACGTAGCCAGAATAAACGTCAGCCGAAGTGAATCCAGATACTTCTCAGCGCGGACGGGGAGGCCATGTATCTGAAAATACCTTTGCGAGCATGGTTTGGCCCCCAGCTACTGTAGGGGCCTTAATGATTAGACTAGGGCCGAATCAGGCTTCGGGGGGCCATTATACTATACTTGCATTGAGGAACCCCCAAGAATGGTATTGGTTGTGATTTATTTAGATACCCTACCTCAACTTTCCCTGAACCCCAAGCCCTGACCGAACAAAAGCAAAGTGCCCCAACACCCCTGTTCTACCCCTCCAACACACTCAAAGAACACTTGTGCTAACCTAACAAGGCACCCCCCGAAACCCTTGACCCTAAATCCAAGACCCCTACATCCTACACCCTCAACCAAGCCCTTACCCCTTAACCCTTGAACCTAAACCCTCAACCCTCAATCCCAAAACCTTTAAAGCTAACAACCCCCCCCCCCACCCCGCCTATACAAGAAAAGATCCCGAAACCCTAAACCCTAAATCCCAAAGATCTAAACCCTGTAGATCCCTCTAGGGACCCCTTTGAAGGAACCCTCAGCACTAAACCCCCTCCCCCCCATGCAACGAAAGCATCCTCTATGGCGCCTGGTTGCTCCTTCCTTTGGCCTCCCTAAACCCTAAACCCTAAGCCCTAAACCCTAAACCCTAAGCCCTGCACCCTAAACCCCAAACCCTAAACCCTAAACCCTTAGCCCTAAACCCTAAACCCTAAGCCCTGCACCCTAAACCCCAAACCCTAAACCCTAAACCCTTAGCCCTAAACCCTAAACCCTAAGCCCTGCACCCTAAACCCCAAACCCCGAACCCTTAACCTGGCGCCTGGTTTTTCCTTCCTTTGGCCTTGGCATCCTTCACGTAGCCTCGGAGCTTCACCAGCTTCTGGCTCTCGAGATTTTTTGGGTAGTTTCCGAAACTAAGGCGTACCTTTAAAGGGATCTAGAAGGGTTCCTTAAAGGGATCTAGAAGGGTTCTATAAAGGGTTTAGGCTTTAGAGGAATTTAACTAGAGCTACCCTAACAGAGGTCCATAGTCTGTCTGGTACTTAGTAGGGAATGGGGAGATGGATCCCTATAGTAGTCCCTATGTAATCCCCAATAATAGTCTCCATCATCCATTCCCTCATTCCCTACTAAGAACCAGACGGTACTAAATGAGACGGTGCCCTTATGGTAACTCAACAGAAACTCCTGAACAAGAGCCTAGTAAACCCTGCATGGTTTACTGTTGGGAGCCCTCGGGGCAGGGACAATTAGCACAGGGATCTGGCGTATATTACAGCACAAGTCTAGGTGGGGCTTTAAAGCCTTTGACAAATATTAGTAAATAAGATACTCTTAAGCCCAATAAGGGAAAATATAAAATGTCCCAAAGCCCTACCTAGAAGTACAAAGGGACCCGAATAGGATCTACTAGACCCTCAACCCTAAACACTCCTAAACACTAAACCCTAAACCCATAATCATGCTGGTTATCCCAAACTAGACCCTACACCCTGAACCCTCCCTAAACCTTCCCTTAACCCCAAGCCCCACATTCTAGATTGAGGTCTTAGGGCCTAGGGCTGGACAGTATAGGGCCACCAGAAGCTAACTCTTCCCGGCCTGAACAGCCCAGGAGTCGGAGCCATCGTGGGCTCTCTTACGTTCTACGGCTGATGATATGAATCCTGGGTTCCTTTAAAGGGATCTATAAGGGTACCTTTAAGGGGTTCCTTTAAGGGATCTATAGGGTTTTAGAAATAGGGTTTAGGGCAATAAGAAATATACCATAGTTCCCATAGTCTATGGTCATTAAGGTAATGCAAAAGTTGTATCATCAACCGTAGGTTTGGGCTTGAAGGCGTCCATGCTTACGGGGCTCTCAGTTCTTTCTTAAACGATTTGAGAGCTCTTATAGTTCTCAGATATTCTGGAGGGCACCTTATACGGATTCGGGGTTTGGGGCTTACTTACTTCGCAGATCGGAGGACCTAAGTGGTAAGGTAAGCTTTCGGGTCTGGAGATCCCTCTCCACTACCCTAGACGCTAGACCCCTAAACAACTAAACTCTTAAACCCTAAACCCCTAAAGCTCTAAACTCCTAAGCCCTAAACCCCTAAACAACTAAACTCCTAAGCCCTCAACCCCTAAAGCTCTAAACTCCTAAGCCCTAAACCCCTAAACAACTAAACTCCTAAGCCCTAAACCCCTAAACAACTAAACTATACTAAACTCCTAAGCCCTAAACCCCTAAAGCTCTAAACTCCTAAGCCCTAAACCCCTAAACAACTAGACTCCTAAGCCCTAAACCCCTAAAGCTCTAAACTCCTAAACCCTAAACCCCTAAACAACTAAACTCCTAAGCCCTAAACCCTAAAGCTCTAAACTCCTAAACCCTAAACCCCTAAACAACTAAACTCCTAAGCCCTAAACCCCTAAAGCTCTAAACTCCTAAGCCCTAAACCCCTAAACAACTAAACTCCTAAGCCCTAAACCCCTAAACAACTAAACTATACTAAACTCCTAAGCCCTAAACCCCTAAAGCTCTAAACTCCTAAGCCCTAAACCCCTAAACAACTAGACTCCTAAGCCCTAAACCCCTAAAGCTCTAAACTCCTAAACCCTAAACCCCTAAACAACTAAACTCCTAAGCCCTAAACCCTAAAGCTCTAAACTCCTAAACCCTAAACCCCTAAACAACTAAACTCCTAAAATCCGGAAGCCCCAAGCTCCGGAGCCCCTAAACACCTAAACCCCTAAAACCCTGAACTCCTTAACCCTAGATACCCTAAACTCCTCAACCCCTACAGTAAACCGCATAAAGTTGGAAACCGGATTAAGGCCAAATAGTGTTGGGATTCCCTATGAATTGCTCTTAAGGATCGAGGCTATTGGGTTTCCAACCTTTGGGCTTCTACTGTAAATCCTTGAGCCTCTTTTGCAGCCTCGGGGCTGTGCCAGCCCTTGAAGATGCCGGACTTGGCGCCTGCGCGGCTGCAGCACAGAAAAATAGGGTTTAGGGGTTTAGGGGTTTAGTAATTAGAATAGGGGTTCCTTTAAAGGGATCCTTAAAGGATTCTATAAGGGATCTATACTTGGTGTTTTGAGTAGGGGCCTTAATAATTAGAATAGTGCTTTGGGTTCGATTATGCTATAATCAGAATACGGAACTTCCACAATAGTATTGGTAATTGTTGAGGCTACTATATAAGACGCAAAGCCGTCCGGGGTGCCCGGAAGCAGGTCGCAGGGTTGGGCTCATAGGCTGAGGCGTAAGTTGGGGCTTGAACCCGGACCCTAAACCCTTGCGCCTATAAGCCCTAAACCCCAAGCCCTAAAGCTCTAAGTCCGGAAGCACCTTACGTGACACGTAAGCCCCTTCCAGCAGCATTGAGTCATTCATTCTGGCGTTTAGGGGTTTAGGGTTTCGGGGTTTAGGAGTTTAAGGTTTAGGGTTTAGGGCAGTTTTAATGCCTCTGAACCCACATTGGAACTTCAAACACGACCACCTAACATCATGTTTTCACATTGTCGATATCTACATGGGGTGGTTCCGCTGAGAACACCACGATTGCCACCGCATTGCGACTCTGTCTTTACATGGGGTGGTTCCGCTGAGAACACCACGATTGCCACCGCATTGCGACTCTGTCTTTCCACATGTGCATGTATATGTGTAAGAATATATATATATATGTAATTATATATACGTACATAGCAGATAATTTGTTTACCAGCAGTCCTGCTGCAAGCGCTACTACGATCTTGTAGCTCAGGCCCTGAACCCATATCCCATGAGGCTTTGGGGTTTGGAACTCAGGGTGGCGCCTTTGTTGGCGCCTCCAGCCCACTTGGCAGCGATGTACTCGATCTGCCTGCCCGAGATTCGGTGCGCTTGTATCTGCCACGCATACGCACACACACACACATACATCTGTACTTATATACCTATAGGTTTGCTCTTTGCACGTCTACATCCGTGCATGTGTATGTGTGGATGGAAGCCCTACGCAGATGACCCAATGCCGCCGGAACACGATACCGGACGGTCGATAGCAGAAAACGAATCGACGAGTGTACAACGGTAATACAAGGGCATTCATCACTAGGATAATAAGGTCTTGTGGCACAGTATAGTAGTAGTTATCTTAAGCAGCCCCAGGCATTCAAGTTAATATTGTTTAGGCCCCCACATCACCCAAAGCCTCCTAAGTAGCTATATAGTAAAAAGTTATTATTGATTCTATATTAGGAAAGGTTACTATGATTTTGGAAAGTAACCTCCATAACACCCTCAACCCTGAACACTAAACCTTCAAGTCTAGGACCCTTTGGGGTAAGCAAGGCCCCCATAACAGTACCCGGGACCCTTCTTGGAGGGTCGGGGGACTTAGTAAGTAGTTATTTTAGGGACTTATAAGTACCATAACCCCAACTAGGGTCCCTTTTAGGGTACTTATTAGTCTACTTACTACCTACTTACGAAGTCCCCCGACCCTCCAAGTTTGGATCAGGTATGAGACTTTCGAACTTCAGGCTTCATGCTACGGTTGATGGACAACCTAGGGTTCCTTTAAAGGGATCTATAGGGGTACCTATCAGGGCTTCCTTTAAGGGATCTATAGGGTTTAGGGTTGATGATATAAATCCTGCATGACCCTAAGGACTCTAAACTATGGGAACTATGGTATATCCCTTATTTTGGGTAATGCAGGATTTATACCATCAACCGTAGTACGGCTGATTTACGGTTTAGAACTTCAAGGGTTTAGGGTTTAGGGGCTTAGGGATTTTAGTCTCCGTTGTAGTTTCCTTTTTGGCTAGCCGTTTTTTATGGCTAGGGCTAGGGTCCTATAATATGAAGTACGGAAACCAAAAAGAGAACTACAGTGGAGACTATAGGTAAGCCGCTAAAGCCTAAACCCCCAGGTAGGACACTGAAATGAAGCCTGAACCCGAAACATCCCTTAATCCTGCAAGTGCTAATAGTACAGTAGAAGCCAGAAAGTTGGAACATCAATATCCCCATGGCCTTGAAGGTAAAGTATCGGGGAACCCAGCACGAATCATCCTAAATCCATGTTCCAACTTTCTGGGGTTCACTATAATCGCATATCCATGCAGTCCCTTTAACATTATGCTATAAACTACCCTGGTCTCGCAATGCCCCTCGACCACGCCTGTGCGCGGCTGCTTTCTTGTCCGCGAGAATCTGCGCTGCAGTCTGGTGGAGCTCCCCATTCTTCCTGGCAACAGTTTTGTTTATAAGGAATTATGAGTTATGGCTGCTAAAGAGTGTTTATGGAGTTCGCTAGTTTTGGTTGTCTTTTGTCAAGCTTTTGTTTGAATGTTTTGTCGTTCTATGACCATGAACTTTATTGGGCTGTTGTAGGCTTCGTACATTCGCTCTTTCTAGGGGCTTAAAGTGTGTTTATAGGATTTTAAACCCGAAACCGTGGGTTCAATCATCAAAACACCAAAACCTTAACCCCGTGGAGGCCCGGTTGGAACTTCATAGAAACAAGAGAGGCATCCGTAGAGGTGGAAACCCTGAAACCATTGAACTCTAAACCGTTGAAGGGTCCTGAATCCTACATGCGAAGGAACAACCTCACCTCAAAACCTGTAGCATAAACAAAGCTTAACCCGTTAAGGGCTCCTTCTGGGGCTCCTTTGAGGAGAAGGTTTGCTTTATGGGCTCCTCTCAGTAGGGTTCCTTTCCGGTTTAGGGTTCAGGGCTTAGGGTTTCGGGTTCAGGGTTTAGGTTTAGGGTTTCGGGTTCAGGGTCCCTTCCGAAACGGTAGGCCTCTGCTCGTCGGCGAGCATCATCTCGAGGCGCTTGGCTTCCTCCTTCGCGGCTTGCTCGGCCTGCACCCGGTCAGGGTCTAAGTGAGGGCTCGGGGGGTCTTGGGCCTACCCATAGGCTCCATAGCAGCTCCTTTCTGGGATTACCTTACTGGCTTTTTGGATTCAATATAGGAACCACAAAAAGGAGCTACTGTGGAGTCTCTAGGTAAGTAGACAGCTAAGGGCTTAGGCTTTAAGTTTGATGTTCAAGGTTTGTAGAGTTGGGCAGGGTGTAGAAATTGAAGCTGTTTACCACATAAGGTTATTGATTCAATGGGGAAAAGGAGCGACCCTTAACGGGGACCCCTACCCCATAATGGGCTATATAATGGGTATATAATAGCTATATTAAGGGTCCCTCCTTGAACCCTTGGATTAATGAGAGCTTCAGGGTCTTAGCGATTCTGGGTTTCGTTCAGGCCCCTGGGGACTGACGCTCGAGATTTTGGGGTCGTACTGTTGATGATATAAGCATTGCCCATAATAGGGAATATACCATACTTCCCATAGTTCAGGGTCCTTAAGGTGATGCAGGAATATCGGAATATATCATCAACCGTAGTTGTTTCAGGTCTTGATCAGAATATGGGTTCAATTTAAGAGGTCTTCACGCAGAGTTAACGGGTTTTGACCGGCCTGAGCATACTCGATATTCAGTAGATCGGGATCTTTCGGTTTAGTATAGTCTAGAGGCCCGAATGACGTGAACAGGGGCTTTGGGGTATAATATCATATAAACATTAAACCTAGCAAGGGATAAGAGGGGCAAAAGCCCGATGTTTGTGCTGAGTGGCTGAGAGCTTGAGCTCATTGCAGGGCTTACCTTAAGCCTGAAGAACCTACCTTTTAGGGATCCTTATTATGATTTCCTTATATAAGTCCTTAAAAAGGTAGGTTATTCCGGGTCAAGGTAGCACTTAGGATGTCCAACCCTACACGGTGCAACTTCGATCGATGGGATGCCTGCCGTGCGATCTTGTTGGCTTTCGCTTCATGCTTCCAGCAAAGCCACACACCTCGGATAAGGGTGCGATTGGGCTCTGTATGATGTAGGAATCTGATTAAGAAACCCTGGGCCTATAACCCCCAAATAATAGTAGTCGTATAAGGAACCCTAATAAAGGCCCAAGGTTTCTTCATCAGGTTCCTACACTATAAGGCTTGGGGTTTAAGGTTTCGGAACGTCTGGGGGGCTATCAGTTCTATCGGGCTTACAAAGGGCCTACTCGCTTTATCAACTTTACCAGGGGTCGGCTGCACCAGGGTTCTACCGCGATTTAAGGATCTGACTCGGTTTTATCAGGGTCTAAAAGAAAGGGGCGGCACGGGCTTTGCCAGGGGCCACGGCTGTTTTGCAATTCGGAGAGGAGGCTTAGGGATTCCCGGGTGGCAGCGCTTACGAGCCGAGGGAGTCTTGTAGGGAATGTATACGCGTCGTGACACGGGCTCTGTAAGGAGTTTCAATAACGGGAAGATAAGGATTGTCGAAAAAGAATTTACAAACGCGCATTGCAAGGATTTCGAAAAAAGTATAATACGGATTATAGAAAAGAGGCTTACAAGTATGCTGCAAGGGCTTTCTGCTGGCATGTCAGAACACAGGTCACGTCCAAAAAAATCTAGAGACGCATTACTACAAGGGTGCCTTTCCACAAGCGTTTTGATATCTTGATATCAAAACCTTCACTACTGCTTGCCTCGACACTCAGCTGTAGTTTCTGGGCTACCTTGTCTCCTAAGTACTACAACGAAAAAGCCAAAAGGACGCCAACGATGACGACCGCCACCACCACCACAACCCAAAACCCCAAACTCAAAACCGGTGGTGATTGAAATTCCTTCCCCCTGACGTCGTCGAGAAACTCCGGGCGGTGCCCTTGGCCTCGCCCTCAGCCCACCTCAGGCGGACGCGGATTTCAAGATCGATGGTTTACTGGACTTTGAAGTAACCAGGGAGAAAAAAGTATAGACTTTTATTTCATAATGGTACCTTTAAGGAACAGGTACCAAAAAAAAATGCAAGTATGGTACTCCAAACCCAGGTTTAGGGTCTTTGGTGGGTGCAGAGTCCTGTAAATTGACAGGGTCGTACCATACGGTCCGCCCCTCGCTGATGGGAGGGCCGACGTGCCTTTTGGGCGTGCCTGGTAGTAGTGATATTTCGGAGGATCATCAAGTTCAAGGGGATGGGATGTCCACTTCATACACTCAGGCTCCTGGACCCTTGTAGCGAGATCCCGAACCCTATATAGCCCCCAAAGCCGAAACCAAACCCCAGAAAGCCCCAGACACTATACATTCAGAGCCCTAAGCTAGTTACTGGGTCTTACGCTGAAGGGTTCATGGCTTCAAGTTAACGGAGCCTGGCCCTCAGAACTTGAACACTACCTCTGTATATAAGTGACTTGTATCACATGTAGAGACCACCGCTCTTACAACGACACTGCGACAGACTCCATTGTAGAGAGTCTGTTAAGTGATGTTTGCAACAATCTCCCTCCGAGGTGCTTCATCATCTGCATCTTTACCGCCTGCCGAAGCCGACCAAGGTCTGGGTCTTGGGTTTACATTAAACCTACCAAATCCTACTGTTCGTAGGGCCCCGATAGATTCCATATTCTGGTTTATAAGAACCTGCGAAAAGTAGGGCTTGGTAGTTTAGGGTAGGGTTTTAGTTTAGGGTTTAGGGCTTACGGTTCAGCCTATCGGGCCGTTTTTTATTTCAGGAAACTTCGCAAGCAGCGTATAGTCATCCTACTGGCCTCTAATTACACTATGTGGAGTTCTGCCCAACGTACTTGTGACCTTACAGCTTTCCCGTTAAGGGGATGTCCTGATCAGATGCCGGCTTTTAAACTAAGTACCTTCGTCGCCGGTCTTGGCCTTCAACCCGCCCCCCCGCCCACAATCATCCCACCACCATCTCCATACGGTTGATGATATAAATCCTGCATTACCCTAATGACCGTAAACTATGGGAATTATGGTATATCCCTTACTATGGGTAATGCAGGATTTATATCATCAACCGTATCGGACCCTGAACCCCTAACAGCAAATCCTAAACCTAAACCCCTTACTCATTCATTACATAGCAACCCCCAGGCGTAGACCCCAGCCGTGCCGAGGATCACAAAAAAATGCGAAACTCTAATTTGCCATACGAAACTTAAAAGCTTCTACTCCAAGGGTAAAAGGAGGGACCCTTAATAAGGACCCCTATAGACCCTTAACATAGCTATTATATACCCATTATATAGCCCATTATAGGGTAGGGGTCCCCATTAAGGGCCCTTTGATCTACGACAAATAACCTTGTCAGACTTCTACTGTAACTTGGGTACTGCCCCCATACAGTAAGAGGGCTACTATTAAGGTCCTAATATAACTATATTATGAATATTATACAACTATTTCTGAGTTGGGGCCGTACCCAAACTGTAAACTATAACCGTTTCGAGCCTCACCGAAATTGTGAACCCTGAACCCCCAAGGCCCTTCTAAGGTCGACCTCGTGGCGCCTAGCTCGACTCTTCACCGCCTCCACCGAACAAAAGTTCGGAGCGTTCGGGCGTTTTTTTCAAAAATGTTGGAAGGTGGGCTTTGAAAAACAGCTGAGGGCCGATTGACGGGTATTTTGAAGTGATAAGCGAGGATGCTTTAAAAGTTGCATTTCTAATATCTTTGGGCTCGTGATACGCAGTCGGGGCGAGGGGCTTTAGGGTGTGGTGTGGCGATTGCGGTCCACAAGCGGAAGCTTAGGTGTGACTTTCAGGCGCGCTCAGACCATAACCGGAAACCTGCACAACCAAAAGCCTTCGAACATATGGGTGGTTGTCAAAATGATGGTCCCTTCTGGGTTTATTATAACACAGCACCTAATATTTGGGGCACCCAAAAAGGTACCCTAATTTTGACAACTACCCATAGGCATTTTGACATTTCCGGAGGCTTCAGGGTTAGGGCTGAAGGTTTGCAATGCTAGTGATGTGGCGTCACGACTTACGGTTGAAGGGCTCCTTAAAGGGATCTACAGGACGGTTGAGACGGATATTGGTTTTGGTATCTTGGGGTTTTACACGATAGCGTTTAAGGCTTTAGGGAAGGATTCATCATACTCCGGGCTCCGGGACAACGGAGTACAGGATTCAGCGTTTGAGGTTCAGCATGAAGCGTCGAGAATTCGAGGTTCTTGATAAGGGCAGTTGTCAAAATTATGGTCCCCCTTTGGGTACCCTAAATATTAGGTGCCGTACTATATTTGGGTCCCAAAAAGGGATCCTAATTTTGACAACCACCCATAAGGCTAAGGCATGAACGCAATTATCCGGCGAGAAACGGGTGATCCCTGTAAGGCTGGCGGATGGGCAGCTTCGGTTTAGGGTTTTGGGTTTAATTAAGGATGACATGTCTTCGGAGATTTTGGGGGTTTAGGATTTATGGGTCTGGGTGCTTGTTGTTGTTTGCGTGGGGTTGAAGATTGAAGGTTTGTGGCCTGGGGTTAAGAGTCTGTGAAATCTGATGGCTAAACGCGCAACCCTACAGTCTGGCCGCCTGTGACCTGCACGTTCAACCCTAACACTAAAGCCCAAACCTAAACCGCCAAACCCAAACTTGTGTGGAGCCTTACACCCGAAAAAACACTTCAACCGCCTCCCTAAATCCTAAACCCTAAACCTGAACCCTACCGAATGCAACCTATAAGGTCCCAGTCCTTGGCGAAGTCAGACCAATGCTTCCAACAGAGGGCTGCAGTGCCCTGCGGGTGCACAGGCATTCGCATTTAAGATTCAGGATTTAGGGTTAGGGTGCAGCAAACATACAAACATACAAACATACATGCATACCTACATGACATACATACCTACATAACATACATAACATCTAATACTATAACATAAACACAATGCAAAACATAACATGCATGCATACAAACAGAGATACATACAAACGTTCATACAAACATTATGTATGTTTAATATTCGACCCCAGTGATATAGGGGCTGTAAAGGGACATTCGAATTAGTTTTCAGCGCCTTGAATGACATGCAGAGGGCTTGCAGTGTGCGGAGACGGACGAGGCTTTGCAATGCACGTCGTCTGGCACGAGGGCGATGCTCAGAAAGATCAGGGTGTAGGGGGTTTGGGGTCCAGGGCTTAGAGAGCTTGAGGTTGTGACAACACTGACTGATGGGGAGGAAGAAGATGATGACCAAGAAGAGGATGATGACAAGACTGAGTTGAGTGCCTTTTTGCTGGTTTTGCTTGTCTAATGTTGTTGAGTGCAACAGCCATAACGGCGAACAGCAATAATCGTAGCGGCCTTAGATATTAACAGTAAACAGCAGTTAAGAAGCAAGACAAGGAGGAACCTGCTCACTGCTTGCCTTTGTGCTCTTGTCGATGTAAACGTTCTTGCGCGGCATCAACACACGTGCTCGCCCGTGCGAGTTATCTTCTCGTGCTTGGACAGGATTCAAAAAAGATATCGTGCGGAAATACCCAGAGGCTCCATAGTAGTTCCTTTGGGGGATTACCTTATAGGATCTTAAATATGAATCCCAAAAAGGAACTACTTTGGAGCCTATGCCTATGGAGACTTACTTGAAAGGAATCACATCCTGAGCACGTCACTACACGGCGGGGTGGAATCTCGTAAGCACAACTACTTTCGGTTCTGACCCCTCAAAAAGACACCCCAGCACAGAACAACCCTTGAAAAAACCCATGGGGCCTTGCAAACCTTCGACAAACGCTCCGTACTGTCCAGTTAAACCAAGAGCCGGATGCAGAACACTCCCAAGGCTGAGTGTCTAGGGCCCCATGTGCCGAGGACTATGAGCGCAACTTAGATAAGGATAAGAATCGCTTCTTTGGGGCCCCTCCCTTCGCAATCTTAGCATAAGCCCTCTTGACCCCAGCTCGAAAACCCTGAAGCCTCAAGACAATGACCCCTACTGCAGCAAAGACGGCCACCCCCAATCCTATGCCCGAAACCCGAATCAAAACCTAAACGCTGAGCCCTGAACCAATACTGAACCCCAATGCCCTAAACACCCTAATGGATCCCTTATCAAATCCGCAAAACCCATACCTGAGACTCAAACCCCCAAATCGCCTTGACTTTGCCCTTGGCCCAGTTCGCCATGACGGCTTCCACGCCGCTGGTGCGGTCCTTCTTCCTGCTTTCGATCTCCTCTCAAGTCCGAGGCATGTGGGTAAGGGTTTAGGAGTGAAAACCGATAAACCTCGAGGGTGTCTTCCTGGCTTACTGGTAGCCTCTTGGAGTAAAAAGCCGGATAGAGAAGGACAGCCCCGCGCCTACCCGACCAACCAAGTTCGAAAGATTGGGCTTAGAGCTTAAAGTCTGAGCTGAAGATGTACGCTTTAGGGCTCTAGTACTTAAGGGTCCAGTTTAGAGTTTGTGGCTTAGGGCTTACCGAGAAGCCTCTAGGGCTTAAGGCCGAAGGTGTGGGTTTGGCCCTAGGGCTTGGGCTTTAGTGGGGTTTAGGTCTTTAGGGTTTTGGATTACGGGTTTAGGGTTTAGGGTAGGGCTTTGGCATGCATCCTTAACCGCATGTCTCAAAGCAACCACTTGAGGACAAACTCCATACAACCTTGCGCTGCGATGTGGGGGTCTGGGTGTGATATTTGAGGAACAATGTATCTTTTAAGTCCTAAACCCTACACCCCTGAACCCCGAAACCCTAAACCCTAAAACCTGAAACCCCATCCCCTGAACCCTAAACCCCTAAACCCCTATACCCCTAAACCCTAAACCCTAGAACTCGAACCTTCAACCCCCAAACCCCTAAACCCCAGCAACTAACACCCTAAAACCCTAAACCCTAAAACCCCAAACCCTTAAACACCTGTAGCCCAAAACCCGACAGCGGCTCCGCCAGCTTTGCGGCCATCTCGGCGTCCCTTCGTGCCTGCGCTGGGCTAGCCCCTAGTTACCAAAAGGGTCCATATGCGTGGTTGTCAAAATTATGGTCCCTGTTTCGATCCCTAACATAATGCGGCACCTAATATTTAGGGTACCCAACAAGGAACCATAATGTTGACCACTACCCGTAACTACCCATATACACTACTATTATGGAATTAGGTCCCGAAAACTATAGTGAAGATGGTCTGTTGGGGCCTAATTCCATAGTGGTAGTATATATGGATCCTCATCGTAATAGCAATAGTAGTAATCGTAAAGTAATCGCAATCAACCCCCCCCCCCCCCGAGCCTAGATCCTTTAACCAGAAGCAGCGAGCCCCAAATCCCTGAACCTTGAAAAACCGTTACTACCCACCCAGGGTACTGGCGAGGTATCCTTTATTTGACTGACTCGTTGCTAGTAGTCACCCATAATCTTGTTTTAAGAGCTTAAGGTAAAAAGGCCTCAGACAGCATCTGCTGCGTGGGGGGGTGGCATTGATTAGGAACTACAATCGCTACCACCATAAGTTCACCGCCACAAACCCTCCAGAATCCTGAAAGTTGGTCTGGTACAACACAGCAGGCACCGGGTCCAAGTACTTCTCCGTTTCTGTGAAGGGAACCATGGGGGCGAAGGATGCAGCGGTCCTCAGAACGTCCTTCCAGGTCCGGGAGGAAGTCAATGCTTTGGAGCATAGAAGCTCCTGCAGCAATGTTTTCGTGGTGTTCCAACCGCAACAAATAACGACGACTACAGCCGGGGCCGTGCCCTGAGCTGCAGAAGTCGACACCCGGGCCGTGCCCTGGCGTGTCTCCCCAAGTTCAAGAGCCTGGGCCGTGCCCGGGGCTGAAGCGGCCGACGCCTGGGCCGCGCCCTGGCAGATCTCTTTCGCCGCAGTCTCCACAATCCGAACCATACCTTAAAATACCGAAACCTGCAAAGCCTAAACGCTATGCAGGTTCATAATATAAACCCTAAACCCTAAACCCGAATATAAAGTTCTAAGCCCTAAACCCTAAACCCAAATATTAAGTTCTAAACCCTAAACCCAAATATTAAGTTCTAAACCCTAAACCCAAATATTAAGTTCTAAACCCTAAACCCTAAACCCAAATATTCAGTTCTAAACCCTAAACCCTAAACCCGAATATTAAGTTCTAAACCCTAAACCCAAATATTAAGTTCTAAACCCTAAACCCTAAACCCAAATATTAAGTTCTAAACCCTAAAACTTAAACCCAAATATTAAGTTCCAATATTAAATTCTAAACCCTACACCCTAAACCCAAATATTAAGTTCTAAACCCTAAACCCTAAACCCAAATATTAAGTTCTAAACCCTAAACCCAAATATTAAGTTCTAAACCCTAAACCCTAAACCCAAATATTAAGTTCTAAACCCTAAACCCTAAAACAAAATATTCAGTCCTAAACCCTAAACCCTAAACCCAAATATGAAGTTCTAAACCCTAAACCCAAATATTAAGTTCTAAACCCTAAACCCTAAACCCAAATATTAAGTTCCAATAATAAGTTCTAAACCCTACACCCTAAACCCAAATATTAAGTTCTAAACCCTAAACCCTAAACCCAAATATTAAGTTCTAAACCCTAAACCCAAATGTTAAGTTCTAAACCCTAAACCCTAAACCCAAATACTAAGTTCTAAACCCTAAACCCTAAACCCAAATATTAAGTTCTAAACCCTAAACCCTTAACCCAAATACAAAGCTCATGGGGGGACCGAAGTCCGTGCGGTGAGGAAGGCTGACAGCACAGATGTCGAGTCGAGGTTTCGAGTTTGAAGATATTTGGGTTCAGGGTCTTTCCATAAGGATCTAAGGACATATATATATATATATATATATATATTAAGGCTTTTGGGCCCAAAGACCATACTACATGAAGCTTTTGGGCTACTTTGATCCCTAGGGTTTGTGATTAAGACCTGGGGTTTAAGGCTTCAGGAGTTTTTCGGGTTCGGGGTTGTGGTCTGAGAGACCTTCGACTGCTGGGCTTTGGGCTTCGGGCTTGTAGGGTGTAGCGTGCTCGGACGTTAGGGTTGAGGGATTAGGGCTTGTGTAGGGCTTTAGAGCTGAAGGCGTCAGATCCTTTGAACGTTGCTGTGAAGGTCTACTTAGAGGCCCAGGGGACTTGGTAAGCAGGCCTTATGCAGAGTTATTATAAGTCCCCTACTCCACGGGGTTACCTCAATTATAACCCTATTTAAATGGGCCTCCAAGCAACCCGAAAGCCCCACTTTTAGAACTCTTATAGATCCCCCGTTTAGAACTCTGATAGATCCCCCTGTTAGAACTCTTATAGATGCCCCTTTAAAGAGCCCTTTAAATTTAAGGGCTCAGCGTGTGTGTACTCTCAGGGTTTCGGAGCAGAACTGTTGTGGGATGGCCGCTGCACCAGGACTTGCGAAAGGCTTACGGTGACTGAGGTTTAGGCTTTATGGTTTACGGTTTAGGGTACAGTCTAGTAAAGTATGATGTACTTCAGTATAGTATGGCACCGTCGCAAGTAACAAGTATAATCAGATGGCTTCATAACTACTTATTTTCCGCATGCTACAACTTCAAAGCCTCATATTACCCACCTACTTATATCGACATGTATCAAAAAATCATACTAAGGCATCTTGACTGCTAAAGAAGGAGTTAAAGTGAGGGTTTGTGTTTCGATGATGTATAGAATAGGTGTAAACGGTTTTGAAAACATATACAAAAACTGATCACACCGCACGCAAGAGCCACACCTAAGCTTCCGGAGTTTAGGGTCCAGGATTTTAGTGTTCAGCGTTTTCTGGCTTTTAGGGTTTGGGGCTTAAGGCTTTGCAAGGTGTTGTAGGGTCGTGTAGGGCTTAGGGCACAGTGTGGCGTAGGGTTTAGGAGGGCTTAGGGGTTTAGGTTATAGGACTTAGTATATAGCTCCTGTCCTTTCACCAGAAACTCCTTAAACCCGCAACCGGTCCGTGCTCCTTCCCCGTGCCACTTAAACCCTGAACCCTGGAACCTAAACCTTATCTGTACATACAAACGTCTATGTTTACATGGATCATAGAAGGGAATCGAAACAAAGTCCTAAACCCAAACCCCTAAACCCTAAACCCCGCTGGGCTGCAGGCCCTGAACCCTCAACCCTGACCGAAAACAAAAACTGACACCCTTAACGCTAATCGCCAAAAGCCAATCCCAAAGGCTTGAAAACACTGCTTGGAAACACAAGAAACCCAAAACCCCCCAAAAAAAAACTCTAAAACCCTGAAAGCCAGAACCCTACTTACAACCTTAAAACCCCCAAAAAAATCATACAGCACGATCCCTAAAACCCTAAAACCATCCCTGAAGACCTACGGCTCTAAGACCCTTAACCCTAAAGCCCCCAACTCCTAACGGTTTAGGGGTTTGGGGCTTGGGGTAAAAACCACTGACCTCATCTAAACCCTAAATTCCACTATTGGCCTGCTCGTTTGCTTGAGATGCCGTCAGCTTCGCAAGATCCGCTTCCCTCTTTCTCTCCTGGGTCTGGTTAGGGTTTAGGATCTAGGACTTCCGTGTTTAGAGGATAAGTTTTCGGGGTCAGGGTTGCTAAAACCAGCTTCTTCAAAGGGTTACTCCCAATGGCTGCCAGAAGGGCTACAACAAAAGTTCTTCTAAGGCGAACTTGAAGGGTTTCTAGAAGGCTGCTATCGTAGCTACTATATGGCATTATATATGGCATTAGGGCTGAAAAGGGTTTGGGAATTAGGGTCGAAATTTTTGCTGCATGAAGCAAGACTGCAATATCGAGTTATTAGAATAGGGTTTTTGGGACCCATTATACTATAATTATACTAAAAGAACCCCAAATGGTATCGGTAATTATTGAGGCCCCTATAATAGGCCATCCATCTCCCACGCGTCGAACAAGGTTGGCGAATGCTCAACTTCACCAGTCCCATCACCAGGCACAGCTTCATGCTGGGATGAAGGCACTGGCCCCAGGTCTTTGGCAGCAGGTTTAGGGTTTCGGTTTTAGAGCTTGGGTGTACGCAAGCTTCGCCGTCGGCAGACACAGCTTGCTGCAGTCGGCGAAGCCTTATCAAGAAGCACCATGGGGCCGCAATCATAACTACGTATACTATTTTTTCTTTTTGGGAGGGGGTTTATTAGTATAGTATAATGGGCCCCCAAACCCTAATTGTTCTATTGGTGAACACGAATCGAAGATCACAGCGTCTGACATCCCTACGGCGAGAGAATTTGGAAATGCGGCCGAAGTAGTCTTCAGTACTCACGCATGCAAATGTTTGTGGGCTCTGTAACATGAAAGCGCAGCCACTTTCGAAGTGGTAAGAAACTCATTTGCGACGTGGTGTAAAGCTTGCCCTAAACCCTAAACCCTAAACCCTAAACCCTAAACCCTAAACCCTAAACCCTAAACCCTAAACCCTTGCATTTTGGGCTTCATGACGAAGGCCCGCACAGACAACTCGACAGACTCCTGCTTAGCTGTTTCGGGGTTGCTGTGAGCTCAGGCACCTCTTCAGCTTCTTTGTTCCCCTCAGCGGGCACAGCTTCGCACGGAAAGTCACATTTATATAAGGGTAGGCCGAGCAACAGTACTACTAAATTTCCAACCCCTGTACTACATCCCTAAACCCTAAACCCTAAACCCTATGAATATGAACATCACAGGAGACCCTGGAGCCCGAAAACACCCGATCAAAGCCCCATGACCGCAACCTGCTGAAACTCCGAGTAGGGTTTCAGGGTTTTGGGGTTCAGGGGTTTAGAGGGGTTCAGGGGTTTAGAGGGGTTCAGGGGTTTAGGGATTTTTAGAGGGCTTCGGGGTTGAGGCGCTGAGGGGTTCAGGGTATGGGTTCGGGGGTCTCGGGTTCGGTGATTTAGGGTTTAAGGCTAGGCTGCAAAGCCATAGAGCCCTATAGCCATCTTCGGCCCAGCGACAGCCGAAGACGAGAGGGCCTCAGGGAGGCTGTCTTTGGGGGATTGGGGTTAAGGCAGGGCTGGAGGCTTCCCCAAGGGTCCAAGTACCTCATAATCATATACTCTCCAGAATCCTAACCTACATAATTACTATCCTAAAACCGAGCACCTGATTGTTGGGTCCTTTGGACCCTTGGGGTTGGGGGTTTTAGGAATGTCTACCATGTTTTCGGCTTTAGGATGTTATGTAGGGTTCGGGTTAGGATTTATCCGATGGCGTGTTGGCCCTCGATAGCGGCGTCTTAATTCAATAATGCAGCCCAAAAAGAGACTTCCAATATTCGATATCCAAGAGCCTTAACGAAACCTAAACACTAAACACGACTAGTGACACTAAACCCTGACAAACCCTAAGACCCTGTAGTGAACTCTTGGGTCTTCATGGTCTTCTCGGTGGATAGGGCTGTAAAGCTCTAGGAGGGTTTGGGAGTAGGAGCGCGCTGCCGTGGGCAAAGCAGACAGCCCAGGGTCTTCGTTCTTGTTTTCGGGTCTAAAGATTAGCTTTCGGTTACCGACTTAGCGGTTTTCAAAGGGGAAAAGGAGGGACCCTTAATGGGGACCCCTAGAACCTCAAACCTAAATGACATAGGGCGAAGAGGAGAGTATGTCTATATAACTGATATAAATATCTTGTGTGTATATTTACACCTGTATGTATACATATATATATATATATATATGTACACTTACTTATTTACTTTTCCATATAAAGTTATGCATTTATGTGTTTATTTCTACTACACACACACATAAAAGATATATTCATATAGCTCCTGTATTGAAGCCTTTGCCTTGGCCCTGAACGGTATGAGACAGGGTCGGGGCCTTGGGGTTGACAGGGTTTAGGGTTTAGGGTGTAGGGTTTGGGGTTAAGTTTAGGGTTTAGGGTTTAAGGTTTAGGGTGTAGGGTTTGGGGTTTAAGGTTTAGGGTTTAGGGTTTCGAGTTGGAGGTTTAGGGTTTAGGGTTTAGAGTTGGGGGCTTAGGGTTGAGAGCTCCACTGAGCAGTAGAACTTAAAACCCCTAACGCCTCCTAGCCGCGCGTGACCGAAGAACCGTAAACCCAAAACCCTAAGAGAAACTCTAATTATTAAGTGTGAACGTCTGAAAGGTCGCCTAAACCCTCAAGAATAAAACCCTAAACCCCAACCATAACCCATAAGCCCTAAACCCTACAACCCCGCAACCCTAAACCCGAAACCCCTAAACCCTAAAGCCCTCAACCTTGAAACCCTAACCCTAAAACCCCAAACCCTAATCCTTAAACATCCCTATAACCCCTAAGCCCTAAATCCCAAAACCCCCAACCCTAGAAACCCTCCCTGGGCCTCAGGGCTTTAAGGCTTTGGGCCTAGGGCTTAGGGCTGCAGGGCTTTTAGGGCTTTGGGATTCTGGCCTCCTCCCGCCTAAACCCTAAATTACTAAAGCCCTAAACGGTTGAGGGTTTAGGGTTTACCTAAACCCTACCAGGACCCCCCATTAGAGTCATTTAATAGAGTCCTTTTGGCCCCTAAAAGTGGGCAGTTGGGGTATATTAGAGGGTAGTTGGGGGGTCTAGGTAAACCCCTAAACCCTAAAGCCTAAACCCTAAAGCCTAAACCCTAAAGCCCAGAAACCCTAAGGCCTAAACCCTAAAGCCTAAACCCTAAGGCCCAGAAACCCTAAAGCCTAAACCCTAAGGCCTAAACCCTAAAGCCCAGAAACCCTAAAGCCCAGAAACCCTAACCCCTAAGCCCTATAAGGCCTAAACCCTAAAGCCCAGAAACCCTCCTCCCGGCCTCCATCTTCCAGTTCTGGAAGCAGGCGCGGGCCGTCCCCTTCGTCTTGCCCTCGGCCCATCCTCGCTGGTTGCAAGAGGGTTTACGGTTTAGGGTTTAGGGTTTACGGTTTAATATAGGGGCCTTAAACGCAATAGCTAGAATAGGGCTCGGTGAAAGGTGTCTATAAGGGATCAAAAGCAGTGTTCTATAGTATAGAGGCCTTCATAAGTAGAATAGGGTTTCGGTTTCGGGCCCACTATACTATCATTATAAGAAGGAACCTCCAAAATAGCATTGGTAATTATTAAGGCCGCAATATATTGGGGTTTAGGATTCTTGGAGGGTTCTTTCGCAGATCGATGAGCATTTTGAAGGTGACTAGGGTTTTAGGTTTAGGGTTCGAGGTTTCCAGAACCTTTTGGGGGGTTTCGGATTTGAGGCTTTCAGGTTGTCTGGTTGAGGGCTTAAGGGATGTAGGGTTTGAGAAGTTTAGGGCTGAGGCCTTAGATTTGCTCGTCCAAGCAGTGGGGATCGGCATTGCTTTCATGATGTCTTTTAAGGTTTTACAAGTTTGTGTAACGTTTTTGTTGTGTTTTGTGTTTTCCATGCTTATAAATGCCCTTCATAAACAAGAGTGGAGCTCTGGGGGATATGATATAGCACAACATAGCTTCATTTAGGATATCTGGGGTTCGACAAGGGGATACTCTCACGAAATCTTCGGGACCCGTATTAGGCCTTCGATTTAAGGCTTGTAATCGAAGGTTTGGGGGGGTTTAGGACTGAGGGTTTATGGCTACGTAGTGTTTGTGAAGTGAGCTTAAGGGTTTAGGCGGGGTTGGGGCTTGGGTCTAGAGGCTGGGATCTTGTCCAGGAATAGGTTTCAGGATCTAACAGCATCCTCATAGTCCCCGACAACACACCCCTTTTCGGATGCCAGGAGTCCATAGATCATCTGGGTAATCCGAGACGACGCGCGCTTCGCTCGTCGCTCCTGCAAAAGCGACGGCTTCTCGAATGGTTCAGGTTTCGAGAAGTTTAGAGACGCTTTTCGGATTTGGAAAACTTGAAAACCAAAGTACAAGCCACAAAAGCACCCAAACATCCACAAGCCGGTGTCCCTAAACCCTGAACCTTAAACGCCTTAAGCAATCGTAACTCCGAACCCTAGAAGCCCTGAGCCCTGAACCAAAAACCGGGCTTTCCAGCTCATGGTTTGGAGTCTAGGACTTTGTGGTTTAGGGTTTAGGGTTTAGGGTTTAGGGTTTAGGGTTTAGGGTTTAGGGGTTTAGGGTTTAGGGGTTTAGGGGTTTAGGGGTTTAGGGGTTCAGGGTTTAGGGTTTAGGGTCTAGGACTATCTAGGACTATACGTTTTGGTTTGAGAGCCTTGGGCTTGGGGTATAGAGCTCGGCTGCTAGGTATGATGAGTCTATGCTATGATCTTCTTTGTTTATACCTCAAAACTACAAGACGCAAAAAAAAACAAAACTAGCCCGGGGAGGCTCGAAACAGATGTTCGCAGATAGAATGCAAGAGGCTCTCGCAGTGGACGTCGGTACAGCCCGCCAGAGACAAGGCCATGAGTAGAGACTCAGGGTTTAGGGTTTAGGGTTGTAGGGTTGACGGTGGCACTTGGCAGCTAGCTTGCAAGCGAAGCTATACGCAAAGCCCCCCCGGCCCCATGGACGCGCAAAATCCATGAAGAGCCACGTGGAGTTGCTCGAGTCGAATATGTTGAACTGACGTGGAGGGCTATGGAAATCTCTGTAGTCTTACAACCCAAACTCTATCTCCTACGACTGAAAGTATACAAATAGCAGGGTCTAAAGTCTACAAACGCCGAACCCTAGCTCTCCCGTAGAGACCCCTGTAAAGGAACCCTAAATAGATCCCCTAAAGGAAGCTTAACTAGATCCCTCAAAGGAAAATGGTACGTGCTTTGGGCTATTTAGAGTTTTAGGGAAAGGCTCCAATCCCACCCAACCTGGAGGGCGTAGTGGGACCAGGATCTCAGGGCCTGCCCGCGGAGTCTTGCTTTCTACCTATAGTCTCCATTGTAGTTCCTTTTTTTGGTTTAACCAAATACATAGTTAGGATCCTGTAAGGTAACCCCAAAAAGGAACTACAATGGAGACTATAGGTAGTTTCGGGAGAAGGATTGAGGGTTTCGGGTTTAAGGCTTCGGCTTTTGTTTCTAGTTTTGGGACAAAGCGGGGGGGTTGGCGGCTAAGGTTCAGGATTTAGGATTTAGGGGGCGTCAGTTAGGAGCCTGAAGCTTAACAAGTAGAGAGTAAGACTATATAGGGATAGTAACATCAACTGTTCCACGCGTCTTATCGGGAGCTTAAATATTCAGGGGAGTTTCTGTCGGCACCGGCTGGTTTAGAGTCAAAAATCAACGGAAGGGCGCCCGCAACCCTAAGCAACTAAACACCGAAACTCACATTTGAGAGTACTAGCAGTAGTAGTCGTCGTCGGCGGCGCTGTAGTACCAACAGTCGTCGCTGTCGTCGTGGTCGTAGTCTTAGTCGTCGTCTCGGTACTGATAGTCGTCGTCGTAGTAGTAGTAGTAGTTGGGTAGTAGTAGTCGTCGTAGTCGTAGTAGTAGTCGTAGTAGTAGTCGTAGTAGTAGTCGTAGTAGTAGTCGTAGTAGTAGTAGTAGTAGGAGGAGGAGGAGGAGGCGAAGTAGAAGTAGCAGGCAGCAGGAGGAGGAGTATCAGCTACTGCTGATGGACAAAACCCTGCATGACCCATAATAAGGAATACGTATACCATAATTCCCATAGTCTAGGGTCCTTAAGGTCATGCAGGATTTATATCATCAACCGAAGTACTCCGCGCCTGCTTGCAAGTGCCCTTCGCGTCGCCTGCGGCCCACTGGCAGATCTTGGCGCAAGCAGCGAAGTTTGGAAACGGTTTAGGCTTTTTGTGTTTCTTCTAATGAGGCTTGTCTAATGGTATAGGAATTGTAGAAGATGTTTACAAGGCTTTGACGAGTTTAAGGGCAATAAGGGCTTTATGGCGTTCGCTGTCGGTGCGGGGGTTGAGCCCCAAAAGGTATACGGATTCAACCGCCGCACATTTCACTATCCGGATCAAAAGCGCGACGATGCAAAAGGAGGCTCCTAGGCGGACTACGTTGTGCCAACATGCTGCCAGCATAAACCCTAATTACTTGGACGAGATTGGGCTCGGGGTTTAGGGCTCATGCCCGGTAGGGTTGCGACGGACTATGAGAATCGTGAGGTAGATATGACTGACGAGATGCATCTGCACAAGTTGAAACCAAACCGAATACTCATAACGCGTGACCTGCGACCCGAGAAAGCTGCGATGAATGCCTGCTAGACCACCAATCTGAATCCCCGTATCAGAAGCCGACAAATCGTCCTCAACCCGAATCCCGATGTAAGGCCAATACTACCCAAAAAACCTCTCTTGAAAGGTTCCAAATTCAATTCAACTGCAAGCATGCAACGAGAAAGGGAAGATACAAGCCGGGCTGCAATGAGGTCAGCCTGCTGCTTTCGCTTCTCCTTCGCGGTCATCTGGTGCTCTGCATGCTTGGCCAGCGTCTCCTGCGGCATGCATGAGCGACGGCTTAGGGCTTCTACAACATGGTTCTGCAGGGTGTGAACCAGGATTAATACGTAAGGTCGAGGGTTTGGGATTGTACCGTGTTGTGGGGAGCTGATGCTCAATCAATAAGGCCCGAAAGCCACGTTTAAACCCGAAAAATGCCAGACCCACCGGCGATGGCCCATCTGAGTTTCTCCCGCGCGACTCTACAAGCATGGTCGAGGTTTAGGGAATCTTTGCAGCTTGCCGTGCTGGGAACTACCTTAAATGACGAAGCCAGGCCCGAAGCGTAAGTTGTACGACTAGCTTCGACTAGTGTGTTGGAAAAACCAACGAAGGTAGTAATATGTATGTGTATATATATATATCATGTGAGCCAATCGCAAGAATAAGTGTGGTCATCAATGAAGTGACGATGATTCCTACGGTGACAATCCACATCGAGTATAAGCCATAGACAATAATTTGGAGCCGTAATAGTTGGAATAGGGTTGTGGGGCCCACTATACTACTATTATAATAAGGACAATAGCATACGTAATTATGAAGGCCCTATGGTAGACTCGAACTGAACCCGCCTGCCGAAACGCACATATGTTACGACAGCCGTGCAAGCCAACACACGGACATATTCCAGAAGCCCAAACCCTAAACCCATCTGCATCTGCCAGTGCTTAAGGCCGCTCATCGGGATACCATGTGGCGATGTCCACTCACACATGCCCGGCCACAAATGGGACAAAACCGGAGCTACTGGGCGGCCCTGAAGGCCTTAACTTCTCCTGGAGCCTTTCACCTCCGCTCAGGGCGTCTGACTTGCAGGGTACTCAGAATCCCACGTATGAGGATTTAGGGTTAGGGTACCCTGACTCTACGTACCCGCGGACTCTCCTCATCCTTTACGTCATGTAAAAGCCTGAACAGACAATAAATCGCTCCTGGTTATACTTAGACTGAACCAAGAGGGTCCACATACACTACTATTATGGAATTAGGTCCCCGAAACTGGGGGATGGTCTTTTCGGGCCTAATTCCATAATAGTAGTGTATATGGACCCTCTCGGTGATTATACTACAGCGAACCCAAGAACCATTCCTAATTACTGCATAAGATTACTGCTTGGAGGCCCAGCGGACTTAGTAAGTAGGATACAAGTAGGGGTTATACTTGGGTAACTCCATTTAGGGTACTTACAACCCTACTGATAACCTACTTACTAAGTCCCCTGACCCTTTAAGTAGCCAATACACCAGCTTTGAGGGTTCGCAGGGCGCTTCATGTTCCTATAGAAGTACTCGGAACACTGCTCGGCACACTTCTCAGGCGCAAATGTCGTGCCCTCGCGGCAGCGGGCTACCCGCTCGATGAGTTGCATGCACTCATAATGGCATTCCTGCAGGTGGGCTTCGAAGTGGACATGCTCTCCCACTTGCCGTTGCAGTATGTGCGAGCAGACATGACATCCAAGAGCAGGAGGTAATATCCAGCAAATGCCATCTCCAGCAGCTGCCATGGTGAGAAGAGATGGGCACAAAGCCAACGGGCGCTCTCCAGAAAGCCCCAAAAACCGGACCTCGCCACCAGGACTCACCAGCGTGCACCGGCTCCGCAAAGCGGCAACTCAAATCATCGCCAGAAGATGCACCTCTCGTTCGGAAGAAGCATCTCAACAAGAGTGAAACCCCTAAACCCTAAACCCTAAACCCCTAAACCCCTAAACCCTAAACCCTAAACCCCAAACCCTAAACCCCTAAACCCAACTCCATGCAAAGTCAGGGCCTCGAACCCTGACCATGACTGATATGGGTGGTTGTCAAAACTAGGGCTGATGGACAACCTAGGGTTCCTTTAAAGGGATCTATAGGGGTACCTTTAAGGGCTTCCTTTAAGGGATCTATAGGGTTTAGGGTTGATGATATAAATCCTGCATGACCCTAAGGACTCTAAACTATGGGAACTATGGTATAATCCTTATTATGGGTCATGCAGGATTTTGTCCATCAACCGTAGGGTCCCTTTTTGGGGTCCTTATTATAGTACGGCACTTAATATTTAGGGTACTTAAAAAGGGACCCTAGTTTTGACAACCAGCCATATGTGGTGGCAGAAATGGCAAGATGTGTGATCAAAAGAAAAGAAAGAAAGTTGGATACCAATACAAAGGAGCCGGAAGTTCCGGGATCAAGGGAATAAAGATCGAGATTTGGGACTAAGTTGTGGAGCCCCTTATATAGACCCCCTTTTAAAGAGCCCTTTAAAGAATCCTTTAAGGAACCTTAGTTACGAAGTCCTACTGAGGCCCCTTCATCCACAGCCCTGCTCTGCCTCTAAGTGAGGCCCCTTCAAAGCCCTAAACCCTATCCTAAACCCTAAACCACGCACCCCGAAACCCTAAACCCCTAAAGCCTAAACCCGCAAACCCTAGACCCCTAAACACCTAAACCCTAAACCGGCCTGGAACGACATCTGGTGCTGCTGGAAATGCGCGGCCCAGGCATCGTGATGCTGCTCCAACTCCTGCAAAAGCTCAGTTCAGACTGGGTTTTAGGGTTTGGGGTTTAGGGATTAGGGTTTAGGGTATAGGGTTGAGGGTTTAGGGCTTAGCGTTTAGGGTTTCGGGTTTAGGTTTTAGGGTTTAGGGGTTTAGGTTTTAGGGTTTAGGGATTTCACAGGTAGATATTGGGCAATCACCCTGGGACTCGAAGGGGATCACTATTCAGAGCTCCATATTTGGACTTTACGGTTGGGGTTTGGAGTTTGGGATTCGGGATGTAGGGTTGGGAAAACTGTAAACATGGGATTTGGGTGGGTAAGCTTTCGAAAAGATCTGGAATCCTCAGGGCCCTATAGGCCAGACATATCTAACAAAACCTTCTAAAACCCTCTACAGAAGCCCGTTCTAACGTTCGAAAAGCACCCAATCCTCAGTCCCGAAGCCCGAAAACTGAGGCAGCCTCCGCCTAAACCCCAAACAATATAAACTCAACCCCACAAACCCTAAACCCTAAACCCCTAAAAACCCTAAACCCTAAACCCGAATCCTAAAAGGACCCTGGGGTCCTGCCGGTGCTCCTCCTCATACCTCGTGAGCTCTCCCTGCAAATGGAACATGGGAGTTTCCGAAGATTAGGGATACCTTATTTGGGAGTACTTATAATAAGGATCCTACTATTTGGAGCAAAAGATTACGGTCCCCTATTTTCGGAAACTCCCACATGAAGCTCGGAGCTTTCAGTTTCGGGTGGAGGGGAATTACAGTAAACATAAAGTTGGAAACCGGATTAAGGCCAACTAGTGCTCGGATTCCCTATACATTACTCTCTTAAGGGTTGAGGCTCTTGGGTTTCCAACTTTTTGGGCTTCTACTGTAAGGGCTCAAGGATTCGAGTTCAATTTCTTAGCTTTTGGGTTAGCGCTTTGCATGAATCAGGATTCACCTTCTGAACAGTCGAAGCTGCACCAAAATTCCGCACTCTTCTATGCTCAATCCTCATAGTGCTGAACCACTTAAGCCCTAACCCTGAAAACACGCCCTGAAAGCCCGACGCCCCAACGCTCAACTATAATCAAGGGGGAAAAGGAGGGACCCTTAATGGGGACCCCTACCCTATAATGGACCGTATAATGGGTATATAATGGCCATATTAAGGGTATATACCTAGGGGTCCATATTAAGGGTCCCTCCTTTTAACCTTGGATACAAATCTCAGACCCTTAGAAAAGCGCAAAGCAGGCAAAAGGACTGCATACATCCTAAACCGGAAGCCTGGAAACCTACAGCCCAAACCCTAAACTCCTAAAGCCTGAAACCCCAAACCCTATCACCCCTAAACCCTAAACCCCTAAACCCTTAATCCCATCACCCCAAGCCCCACCACCCCTAAACCCTATCACCCAAAACCCCGAACTAAACCCCTGAAACCCCAAAACCCCTTAACCCTATCTTATCACCCCTAAACCCCTAAACCGCCAAAGCCCCTGAATCCCTACACCCTAAACCCCTCAACCCCTGAACCCCTAAACCCCTAAACCCTGAACCCCTCAACCCTAAACCCCTAAACCCCTAAACCCCTAAACCCCTAAACCCCAAAACCCCTAAACCCCTGAACCCCCTAAACCGCAAAACCCCTAAACCCCTCAACCCCTGAACCCCCTAAACCCCAAAACCCCTAAACCCCTCAACCCTAAACCCCGACACCACTAAACCCCCGAAACCCCTAAACCCCTCAACCCTAAACCGTGTTGCAAGATCCAAGATGTCAAGATGCTGTCTACACGGCACTCGAAGCTTAAACCCCGAATCCTGAACCTGAACACAAGTTCGGCCTAGGGTTTTGGGGTTTGGGGTTTAGGGTTTATATAGGGGATTTTAGGGTTTATATAGGGGGTTTGGGGGTTTAGGGGTTTTGGGTTCAGGGTTTAGGGTTTGGGGTTTGGGGATTAGGGTTTAGGGTTTTGGGTTTAGGGTTTGGGGTTTCGAGGCTTGGGGTGCAAAGTCACTTGCATCAAGGATGGTTTAGGGTTTAGGGTTTAGGGTTCAGGGTTTAGGGTTTAGGGTTTAGGGTTATCAGTTGGCTTGAATGTTCGCCCGCCCCGCACTGCACGCTGGGACTTTCATGCGCACAGCCCGCCTCCCCCTCGCATCGCACGTACCATCACGCAGACATCATACTCCAAGACTTCTGCTACGCGTTTGTTCGCGTTGGAGCGAAAGTAGCTCACTGCGGAAAGGCTGTCGACGCGAAGGTCAGGGCCGCCCAACCGTTCCAGGGTAGACTTCTGGGGTCTGCCACACCGCTGCTGCCAGGATCTGCTCCAGAGAGAGGGTCTTCTCTGGGAACATAAAAACTGACCTTAGGACGGGCGGGATCGGCGGTGGTCCGCGGTGGGTTTAAGGTTTAGGGTTAGGGTTTCGGGCTCCATGAAGGTATACTTGTAAACTGGCACGAGGCGTCTTAAGCGGGCGCGGTTTGCTAATTTACTGAAGGGCCTGGGTCAGCTTCGCTGGCTCCACCTTGAGAAAAAGGAGAATTACATTCTGATTCTAGCACGAGCCTCATCCCCAACCTTACTCCCTCACCAAGAACCAATCCCCAACAACTGAAAATCCCAAGCCCGAAGCGTCCTAAATCCCTCACGTCCAAACACTGTAGAAGCCTATTGCAGGACACTACAGAACCCTTCAGCCTTCAGCCAAAGCTAATCCCTTTTTGAAGGCCCCAAACGCAAGACCCAAAACGCCGAACCCTAAAACGCTAAACCCCAAAACCCAAAACCCTGAACCTTAAAACTCTAAACATTTAAGCCCTAAACTCTGACAGCTGGGCTTCTCACCCCTGTTTCAAAAAAGACCCGGGATAGCCTGGAGGCGCCAGGAATGGAAGACGCCCGCCAAGAAACCTGCACCTGGGTTTAGGGTTCAGGTTTCCTTTAAGGGATCCTTGAAGTAAGGGTTTCGGTTCTAGGGTTTCGGGTGCAGGGCTTTAGGCTTTGGGATGTACCGGTTTAGGGTAAACGGCTTGGGCGGCTCAAACCCAAGTTACCATAGCCGACCTCTAAATCCTGTCTTTACTGCGGTATTTTCCGCTGAGTCAAGGCACTTGGTTGAAATTACCAGCAAAATTCTGGAGCCCAAGACCATGAACCTATGAGGGCAAATATCTTTATGGATCTTGACAGAAGCTAGTTTGAAACACCATATTAAGCACAACCATGTTTATGGTTACTGCATAACCCTCCTATGGTAGCTAAGCCCTACACTGTAGACTCCAAACCCTAAACCCAGCGTTGGCATCTCAAATTAAGCTCCTAAACCCCTGTGAAGTAACAATATAGAGACGCTAGAAAGCCAGTACATGGTCCTACGAAACCCTTTAACATCTTGAGACCCGTAAGTTAAGGCATCTGGAACGAAGAGAGGACCAAGGGCCCTGAATAGTCAGAATAAGGTCTTGTAAGATCTTATAGGACTACTCTATAAGGAACTGCAAGGGACAATCTAAGCCTGAATAAGTACTACATTATTTCACATTCTTCCTTAGGGCTCCGAGCCCCAAAACCTTTTCTCACTATTGAGGCTGCTGCATTGCCACCCCATTGAATTCATGAAGTATGGCCGATCTCTGACCGGTATGTTGTAGGATTTCTTTAGCCAGTTGTGAGGGTCCGATCACTGATTGCTCCGACCTCTATTGTGTCTTAAGGGTCTTGGGCTTTCTGCTGTAGCGGCATATACGTAGGGGCTATTCATGGGATATCATCACTAATTATTCTATAGGGCTCATTCAAACGAAACAATACGATAATATGGCCCGAACGCCTGTTATATTTATTGATGCCCCTACATAATCATCAATTTCTATTCCGACCTCGATATGTTAAGTCTCTTGTCAAGAGCTCAGGCGCGAAGGATCAGAGCACTCTCGAGGTTCTGAAGGAGACGCCTTTGGAGAGGGCTTGTACAAGCTTTATATCCTTGTGTGCACTGTATACGGGCTTCACTAAATACGACTCAGAAGGGCTTCAGCAGGGTGCTAGGTTCTAGAGGGTTGCATGAATGAAGGTCAAGAAGGGCTCTGTAAGGTCTGTTAGGGGTGGTTGAATGGTTTTATTGGAGCGGTTCGACAAAGCTTTCAGAAGTTAGTGAGGGTTACGGAAAAATGTTTCACTCATCCTCAGCCACGATGGCACGCAACTTCGCAGTCTACGATTGCCCATTTCGGCTTTAGGCTTTCAGGGTCTGCAAGGCTTCAAGGTCTAGTGCAGGGATTGTGTAAGTTTGGCTGATTTCAAAGCTCAAGGACTGGTTTTGGCCCATCTGAGCTTCCTAGACCCCCAAATGTTAGCACAAGGAGCCCAAACACATGCAACGGAGAGCCCTGAATTCTATGGGTTGGGGTTTGTTGTGGTTCGCAGGAAACGGAGCAACCCGCAATGTGCAGGTGCCTGAAAACGGAACCTACACGAGATAGCTGCGGCAGCTCAGAAGCTGCACAGGATAGCTACCCTACTTAAACCTGAGCTACCGTAATACCTAAAGCCTTAGCTACAACGTTGTTCGATCATTAAAGCCTTACAGGAACCCTTCAAAAAATCCTATACGCCGTGGAAAGGCAGCCTTTTGGCCGCAAACCCTAAACCCTACCTGTAGAGCAAAGAATCTACGCCTTTAGAGTTCCCTAGTATGGTTTCCTTACAGAAGTCCTTTAAAGAGGTAGGATTTGGGTGCGTAAGGCACGCCCCAAACCTTCAACAGCCTATCAAAACATCATCCTAAGCCCGAAACGATTCTAAACCTATTAACTTCCTGTCTACGCAACATAACTTGGGGGCTGGCCCAAAAAGGGTTTAGGGTTTTAGGGTTTGAGGGTTTGGGGTTTCGGGTTCCTACATTGAACCCCTGAAGCCGAACGCCCTTAACCGTAAACCCCCAATACAGGGCCCTTAATGATTAGAATAGGGTTTTGGGTCCCATTCTACTATAGTTATAAGAAGTCCAAGGGTAAAAGGAGGGACCCTCAATAAGGACCCCTAGGTATACACCCTTCATTATATACCCATTATATAGCCCATTATAGGGTAGGGGTCCCCATTAAGGGTCCCTCCTCTTTCCCTTTGAAAGGACCCCCCCCCCAATACCCCTGAAGCCGAAACCCTCAACCATAAACCTAATATAGGGCCCTTAATCATTAGAATGTAATATGGTTTTGGGGCCCATTCTACTATAATTATAAGAAGGAACCCCCCACCCTGAACCCTAAACCCTAAACCCCCCCCATAATTATATACCCATTATATAGCCCATTATAGGATAGGGGTCCCCATTAAGGGTCCCTCCTCTTTCCCTTTGAAAGGAACCCCCCCCCCATAAACATCTGAGTCAGGAAGCTTCGTGGTCTCCACCATCCTCGCCCAGCAAAACGGGGGGGGAACAATTGATGGGCACTGCTTCGCTGAGGAGCACTATAAGGATTACCTGGGCCCTTATGAACCTACCTTTTTAGGGTTCCCTAATATGATTTCTTTATATAAGTCCTTAAAAAAAGGGAGGTTACGTGGGGTTAAGGTACTGATTACTCAATTTATGGGTCCTCTTTCGCTGACGAGTACTACAAGGATTACTAACCTGGAAAAAGTGGTCGTACACCACAATGCTCGCTTCACTTTGATCCATGAGACCATCTGCCATCCTCACTCGATGAAGTCTGCACGCCCACCGTCTTGGCTCTGAGGAAAGACTCCAGCCAGAACAAATTCCCAGGTGCCTCGTACAATCCTCGAGCTTTCAGTGTTGACAGGAAGTTCTGTGGCCGCCAGGTTCCGTCCTTGAAAGACCCTGCCTGTTCTCTGCATTGTCCATCTCCATTTCTTCCAACAGCTGGTCGATATTTCCATGCTCGCGCTCCCAAGATCGCGCTTCCTGCTGGAAGGTATCCTTGTCCTGCCCCAGCTGCTTCTGCAGCTCGACAGCACGTTGGTTAAGGGCTTCCACGGAGTCCTCGGGCATATCCAACCTGGTCCGCTCATCGGAATCAATTCGAAGCTACTGGTTACACGAAATAAAAAAATAGTCAAGGCCAAGGAGCCACTCACAGGCCCCACCCGATTTAGAGGTCTGAACCATGAGTAGTACGTTTCCTCATTTGAAAACAAGGGTTCTGCAGAATCTGCCTCAGAGACCCGCTTCAAAAAGCATTAAGCCTTAACCCTAAACCCTAAACCCTAATAAACCCTAAACCCTAAACCCCTACACCCCTAACACTAGAATGCTTCGTCGGCAACCCCCGCCATCCAAACTCCCGCCAGGTCCACTGCGCGACCCCAAACCCTAAACTCCAGACTCTAAACCCCACACCTTACAGGGAACTCCAGAAAGTTGGAATATGGTTTCATAGTAGGATACCCTATAATTTACCATAAAGGGTTTAGGATAATCATATTCCAACTTTCTAGCTTCTACTGTAAACGGTGGTTCTATAAGGGATACTATCAAGGTTCTCACAGGGTAGAAAATACTGTTGGCCCTTTATGATTTGGGGGCTTCGGTGCTCTATGCTTTAGGTTTAGGTATTGGGGCTTGGCCGTTTCGGTAGTGTGATTTAGATATTGCGGCTAAGCTTTCAGAGCTTCGGGTTTGGCCTTAGTGTTTAGGTTTCCAAAAATTAAGGTTAAGGTCTGGGATCTTCAAATATGAGAGTTACGTATTTGCGCACAAACCCTGAATGCAGGTTAGGTGAAATCGCTAGATTTTGTAAACCACTCTTAGGTCCCCTAAACCCTACACCCTGTAGCCTAAACCCAAAACCTCTACCCCTAAACCCTAAACCCTCCTATCCCTAAGCCCTAAACTCAAAGCCTAAACCCTCAAATCCCCTAAACCCTAAACCCGCAAAACCTACACCCTAAAGACGGTTTGCGGAATGGTGTTTGTGGTCTAGGCCGTCTTGCGGCTTGTAAGCCCTAAACCCTACCTTAACCCCGAATAACCTACCCTTTTCAAGGACTTGTTTAAGGGCATCAGAGTAAGGAACCCTGAAAAAGCTAGGTTATTCAGGGATAAGGAAATTATTAAGCCCGACTAACCCTAAACCCTAAACCCGAAAATTATTAAGCTCGAAGCCTAGGCTCAAGGTGCAGGGTCCAAGCGTGTGCTTCAGGTTTGGGAATGCGGGCCTTGGGGTTTAGGGGTTAGGGGTTTAGGGGTTTAGGGGTTTAGGGGTTTAGGGGTTTAGGGTTTAGGGGTTTAGGGGTTTAGGGGTTTAGGGCTTAGGGGTTTAGGGGTTTAGGGGTTTAGGGCTTAGGGTTTAGGGGTTTCCGGAAATCTGAGCCAGAAGCCTCTCAACCTAGAACCGCTAACAATCCTCATCCGGCAAAGGACAGACCCAAACTCGCATCCTGGAGTAAAGAGCTCAGCGCCGCAAAATAAGCCACGAAAGCCCATAAACGTGCAAGCCAGCCAACCCTACCACCCTCTAAGCCCTGAACCCTGCGCGGCTTAAAGCCCAACAGCTTCGAACCCCTCCCCCCCCGGGTCTTTCGCACGGTGACCGCCCCGGCACGGGAGGTCATTTCCTGTGCACGCGTCGCTCTCACAGCAAGCTGCACCAGGGCTTGGAGTTTTGGACTTCAGGATTCTGAGGCCACGGTTTAGGGTTTAGGGTTTAGGGTTCAGGGTTCAGGGTTTAGGGTTCAGGGTTCAGGGTTTAGGGTTCAGGGTTCAGGGTTTAGGGTTCAGGGTTCAGGGTTTAGGGTTTAGGGTTCGAGGCTCAAAGGATCAGTTTTCAAGGTCCCGGCATTACCGGCATTTTGGCATGAAAGTAGCGTAGACCGGCATGGCTAATGGCACGGGTTCATGGTGCAAGCTCGGGTTGTAGCTGGAGTGTCATGGGAAAACTTCGGAAAAAGAAGTGTGCCCTGATCCCTGTAGGTGCAGCTGAACAACTTACAGTAATTAGGAAACAAAAAGGGTGCCAGGGCTTCTTGACGGCTACTAGAGTGAAGCTTGCACGGCTTTGGTGAACAGAACCAAAGCCGAACGGTACGCTGCTTGGATGGATGTCGCGGCATCTTCTACGCGCAACACCGAAGCTTTCACATGTAGATACATGCTTTCCTGAGCTCTGCACCTAATGTAGGGGCCTGAATAATTAGAGTGGGGTTTTTGGGGCCCATTATACTATAACTATAATGAGGAACCCCCTTCAGGCCCTATAGTAGAACCTGAACCTTCGAGCAACCTCACAGCAGCCCTGCGGGCTTGGAAATAACCACTGCAAGTCAAGACGGCATCCCCAAGCCGCAAGTTTCTTACCTTTGGTCAGTAGGGAATGGAAGAATGGTAGGAATAGTAGTTACAATTGTAGCCCATTCCTCCGTTCCCTACTAACCAAAGGTAAGGTTTGCCCTACTTGCAGTGGATCTACAAGATTCACCATGAAACGACCCGGAACGCATTGAAAACTGCAAGGGCGCTCATTTTGCAAGCAGGCAAGCAATGCACCGATTCGAGCTTCGAAGCGTTGCATCCGGGTTGATTCTTCTGCTGACATGCGCAGCCTCGATGATGCACGCCTGCATTGAGGAACCTTCTGGCTTTCCACGGCTTGTTCGACTGCTTTCATCTGACACCCACATGGCGTCATAATTGCAGAGACTCCAATGACATCACAAGCCAGTTCACCATGTCGCGTTTCATTTCTGTCTCCTGGAAAATGCTCCGCGCAGCATTCTCCTGTACATCCAGCTCTTCGTCTGCCCACAACTTCATCTTCTGCAGATCCTCTTCCTGTTTGTGGTGCCACTCGTTCTGAACAAGCTGCATTTGCTCCTCTTTCAAGAGCATGAGGTCTTCCACAGACAACCTGGCAGACTGCAAGCCAGCTACAGCAGATCCGAAGGTGCGAAGGAAGTCTTGAGCTCCGCGCCGGCCCTTTGTTGCACCCGCAGCTGCTGCCACTCCTCCCAGCATCAGCGTGCTGGCAGTTCCCACTACCTGAGCAACCCAGGTGCGAAGTACGACAGCTCACAGACTAGAAGAAAGCATGACGTTACGAAGCAGACCAAGCAACAGACACGGTTTCGACTAATCAAAACCTTCGGTGCCAGCCCGACAGGGGGAACAAGAGCTCCTACGGCAGCAGCCGCACCCAGACATGCTCGCCCAGCGATCTTGCAGATTAGCCGTTCATCACGGGACTCCCCCTGCTGAAATGCCTTCTCGGGCACACCGGCCTGGAACGATGGCATGAGGGTGCCTGTGCTGCCAGTATCGTCTGATTTTCCACAAGACCATGCATCGCACGCTGCGTAGTTGCACTGCTTGCACAGAAACACCCGTGATCCCACGTCCTGCAAGCGGCCACAAAGATTGCACGAGCGGCTGCACAAACAGGGCGACATCTCCAGGAGATGACCAGCCTCGCAGTGCGAAACAACGCTGTTCCAACATGGCTTCTCCGGATTGAAGATGTCACGCATCCAAGTTGCTCCCAGCTCCGAGATGCTCACAGCGTGCCGAAGCAAATGGCTCCATGCACAAACACGGAGCCATTCACGAAAAGAGGTGACGAACCTCTCAAAATGTCCATGCTGTTCAAAGCAAAGACTACCCCGGGAAGGAGTGTTGAAGAATTGCGGCGAGTTCATATTCACGTTCTCCAGCCAGGATTCCACCAACCTCTCCGCGGCACTGCCTTCAAGACCGGAGCCAGCGAGCCCTGGCACGAAGTCTCTTGCAGTAGTTTGATCTGCCTCGGGGTTGCATATCGAGTCTACGACGGTCTGCACATGGTCTGTGACAGCGTCCGCGGCTGCGTCCAAACTCTCTTGAACTTCCTCTTGCCATTGGACAGTGGCCTGTTCCATGCGAGACGCAACGACTTCTCTCAGATTGCAGGCTGTGTTGAGCTGCGCTGCAGCTTCCTGAAAACCGTTGCCGATGTCATCTGAAGCTTTGCGCAAGATGGAGAGGGCCGGCAGCTTCACCATCTCAAAAACAGAGAGTTCGCTAACAGATTCTGGAAAAGCCTGCTCCTCTGCCGTCGCCATGGCTTCTTGGGCTTCCCAAATCACCCCTGCAGCTTGTGAGGACAGTGGTGAGTCAGTGTACTTCTGCAGACAATCATGCAGGAAACTTCGAACGCGTAGCTCGGCAGCTGTCTGCAGCACTGGTACCCCATTTGGCAGCATGCGCCCGATGATTTTCAGAAGGTAGCAGGTGCTAAGCAAGTTCCGTGAAGCTTGCCCGGGTGCATGCCGAATGAGTTCCCGCCCGATAGAAAGAGCTTTTTCTGAAATACTGGCAGCGCGCGAAGCAGAAGGAATCTGTGCTCCACCACTTGTCAGAGCACGGAGATCGATGGCAAGACCACGCAAGAGGGATTCTGCCGAGCCGATTCCTGTAGCATCAGTTTCAAAAGCCAGAGTGTGCGCAAAAAAGTACCCTGTGCTGAGGCTACTTTCCGGATGCAAAATAACTTCGGAGAAATCTCCGCTCGGATACCACCACGGCTGTTGGCACTTGAAGCTGCTACGGAGACAGAACTTCCGGCTGTCTTCCAGAAGCTTGTACCAAGGTAAACCCGGCGTCTCCAAAGCACGGAGGAAAGCCGCGGTATACCGGCCATGAGGCTGGGCCTCACTCTCTCTGGCAAGCCGTCCCTCACTGCAGGCATATACCAAACAGACTTGCGAGTCTATTATGTGCTCACCAAACAAATGCTGCTGCTGCTGCTGAGGAGAACCGTCGTCAGCTGCATCCGACGGGACAATCTCCCTGCAGCAGTCCTGTATCACGACTAGTCGTGTTCCAGGCGCGGGAGAAGCTGAAGCTGACTCAGCTGCAGTCTTGGCTGATGATGAGCACCGCGAGATCATACTGCACAAGGGTTGCAAAAATTCGTTGACAGCTTGGTATGTGGATAGCTGGCCCTCCTTTGCATCTATCGGAATCCAATACGCTATTCCCTGACTGCACACGCCATGCCCAGAATAGTAGACGAGAGCTAGAGCGCCCTTCTCTCCGGACAACTCTTGCATAAACTGCTTGCGAATAGTCCGGAAATCAGCTTTCTCCGCATCTATGAAGGGTAAGACCTTGAACCCACAAAGCTTTTCCAAGGCCCATTTTAGCTTGTCAACGTCTTGACGGCAGTGTTTCAAGTCCTGGAATCCAAGAACGGAGGCGCTCTGCCCAATGAGTAGAGCCAGACGTCGCTCTGCCATCTGCTGACAGGCATTTACTAAATCCGAATCTCAATCCCTAAACCCTAAATGTTGGGGTTGAAAGAGGCTTTGGCGCCAGGATACCGTGCTCCAGCGACTCACTCCAGGACTCCAACCTCTTGGGGCCTGGGTTCTTCAAATCCTTCGTCGCAGAATCTTAATAACTGCATATAGGGGCCTTAACAAATAGAATAGGTGTTGAGGGATGTTAAACTTTAACTATAACAAGCAACCCCCAGAATAGTATAGGTAATTATTTAGGCCCCATTATCTGGGGGAACTAAAGGTTAACCTTCGGGATCATACAGGGGTTATAGTACCCCAGAAAAACTGGTGCATTATTGTACTACTAGGCACAGGTTCGAGCCACGTATTGCTTGCATGCCTTAGCCGCTTCGAGGCAACGGGCAAGGTTTAGGATTTAAAATGTATGGGCTCAGAAGTTGGGCTGTCCGCCATTCGAGGTTGAGTCGGATGTTTCAACTTTTCTAGAGTCATTACAGGGCTTCATAGTGTGTCATGTTAAGTTAGGTCTAAACCGCAGAACCTAAACCCTAAACCCTAGCCAAGAAACCTGAAGTCGACTTGAATGTTTTCGGTTCTGAAAGTCTTCAGTTGGAGTTGCTTAGGGATTTAATCGGAATTTAATGTAAGTTACCATAATAGGAGACTATAGCAAATAACAGGGGTCTGCATAGTATGGCAACTTGGAATCCATTCCTCAACTTGAACCCAGGGTTGTCGAGATCGGCGAGAAATGCTGAATATAAGGCGTCGTCCAGCCTGTTTTCTCTATGTCTTGGGCTCGTGACTCCCATCAAAATCCTAAAACCGTAACCGTGAAACCCAAACCGCAAAAGTCCTAGAGCCCCAAAACCTAGACCTGAATTCTAAACCTTCTTGAAACGGTATGAGCTTAAGGCTTCAATAGAACGAAGCGGGTTTTGGGCGAGTATACTATCATGTCTGGGGCAAAGTATACTTTTTGTGTGTTGATTCTATACGGCTGCTAAGGGGACACAAGTACTACTTGAGTGAGGCCTTCTTGCTCTTAGATGAATCCTTAAAGCAACCCCTCGAGGAGCCCTAAAACCCTAAACCCTAAACCCAAAGCCCTGGAACCCGAATCCCCTACACCGCTTAAGCTGAAACAAATCAAGACCCGAGGCAAGAGCCTGCCCCACTTGGGCCGCCCACTCCTCTGGCAGCCCCTGGGTGGACTGAGTTGAGTTTAGGGCTTAGAGCTTAGGGTTTAGGGAGTTTAGGGCTTAGGGCTTAGGGAGTTTAGGGCTTAGGGCTTAGGGTTCACGGTTTAGGATATTTTGCTTATTGCGCAATGAACCCTGCCGTAGGGTTTGGGCTTTCGGGTTATTAAACGGTTTGGGTCTTGGGCTTTCCGAAGTACCGAAGGGTGTGGCGTTTGGGGTTCGCAAGCTCTCACAGGGCGGTGCCCAAGAGATCTGCGGCGATGGGGGTCGCGGATCTCGGACTTTGAATCTGAGTCATCAGACAGGGATGCAGGTCTTGCAGGCTGGTTCCATGCCTCAGTCTAGCATCGGGGTCTGTGGGACCTAAGCTTCGCAGCTTTGGGCTCGGCAGAAGGCTTCGGGGGTTCGTGAGCGGAGTCGCGTGGTGTTACGGGCTGAAGGTATGTCGTTGATCTTCCGCTGTGTAAGCTTGAACTGAGGCTAAACCCTAAACCCTAAACCCTCTCAATCGGGGCCCGGCTTGTTCGTCGTGTTCCGGGCTTCGGATTCGACTCTACAGGTCTTGCGAGTTTGGCAGGCTGAAGGATTCGTAAAGGGCTTGTCGGCTTTTGCAAGATGTCTCATGAGCTTTCTTTTTGATACTGCCCCCATACAGTAACAGTCTATAATAGGGCTACTATTAAGGGCATATTGTACCTATATTATGAATATTATCCAACTGTTACTGAATGGGGACAGTATCCAAGCTGTATTCCCGATGTTGAAAAATCTTGCCCGAACGGTCCCAATCCCTCGCTCCAGGCTAGGGGGCTCGCACTCCTCGGTCCGCAATACACCAACGGCTTTAAGGTTTTAGGTTCGGGGCTCCGAACTTAGGGCGTAGCGTTTGAGTTTGGGGGTCTTGAGTTTGGAGTTTCAAGGGTTATGGCTTACCATGCTTTCGAAGCCTGCAGAACTCACACCCTACTGGCTGATATAGCCAAGCAGCAACGTCGAGCGCAAAAGGTCGCACCTGGCGCCCCACCACTCTGAACCGTAGACCCTGAAATCGCAAAACCCCAAATCCTAAACCTTGACCCCATGCAGACTGTAAACCCAAAACCCTAAACCCCGACCCTAGACCCCCACGCCCTAACGCCGGAACCCCTGTCCGAAACTACGAACGTGCCTCCCGAAACCCTCTCGACTCCGACCGGCAACTTGGAGGATCCTGGGACTTAGCAAGTAAGGTTATAAGTTATAAGTACCTTAATTGGAGTTATAAGTAGTTATAAGTAAAGTTAGCTTGTTATAACCTTACTTACTAGGTCCCATGATCCTCCAAGTAAACCGTGGCTGATTCCAGGATGATGGGTGTAGGGTTTAGGGTTGGGGTTTACGGTTTCGGGTAGAGGGTCTTTCTACTTTCTGACTTTCTGCCGCGGTTTATGGGTTTAGGGTTGCGACTACGAGTTTAAGGATTGGCTTCTTCAGAACTCATTTACGGGGAGAAACCGGCGAACCTGGATAGAAGACATCTCAAGCCCGGGCAAAACCTGCATTACACTACCACTTCCAACGCCACCCATAAGCCCCAAAACCTTCTACGCCCAAATTCGAAAATGTACTAAGTTATATGGCTCAGAAGAAAAACCGTACACAACATACATTTAAACACATAGACCCCGCATAAACTACGCTTCAGAAACCTCATAGAACCTTTATCTCAAACCTCAAGAGCGAACCCAAAGGAAACAGAAGACATCATAGAACACAGGTTCGACCTCGAGCTCGGTTCTGTCCGACACATTCCGCGCCAGCTCCGAGCGATTGCGAGCGAGCGACGGCCTCCCGGGTTTAGGAGGAAACTCGTGTGTTTGGGAGGTTTAGGATTGAGGGTTTGGCGCTTAGGGCTTTAGAGCTTACTGCGTTGTGGGGGAACTCGGGGGTTTGGGTTTTGGGGCTGAGGGTTTGGGATTTGGGGCTTAGGGTTTTGGGGCTGCGGGTTTGGGGTTTTGGTTTTGGGGCTGAGGGTTTGGGGCTTGAGGCCAAGGGTTTATGGTTTGGGACTTAAGGTTTAGGGCCTAGGGTTTTGTGTTGGGGTTAAGGGTTTGGGGTTGAGGGTTTTGCATTTCGGGTTGAAGGTCTAGGATTGAGAGCTTGGGGCTTAATGCTTTAGGGCTTACTGTTTGGGGCTTAGAGCTGTAGGGCTTACTTGGAGAATCATACCCACAACTTCTATAACAGGATTTATGTGGGGTTTGCAGGGCTTTGAAACAAGTTAGCATTCCAAACGCATCTACGGAGTGTATAGGAGTCTCGGTATTCTTACGGATATTGCAGAGCGTTTTAAGACTTTGGAATTTTGGTTTGGTTTTCTCGGGCACTCGAAAAGCACGCAACCCAGCCGCCACTCCCACTTGGAGGCCCAGGGGACTTCATATAGGATACTTATAACCCTAGTTGTAACCTACTTACTAAGTCCCCTGGGCCTGTAAGCAAGCGCCGCTGCTCTTCAAGCTCCGTGCGAACTGATCAACATCGCGGAACAAATCGCTCCCGAAGGCGACGCTGTGCGATGAAACGGAGTGTTTGCATGCCATAGCATCTCTGCGACGACAAGGATTGATAATTCAGCTATTGTTTCTATTTTTGCTAAGCCGAGTCACGGTTTATAGGTCCCTCTAAACCCTGGCCATAGACCCTAAATAAAGTTGTTCGAGATGTCTTGGTTCCTCCATGCGGCTGCCGCCTGCTTTCTTCTTCACAAGCTTGCAGCTTTAACTTTCATGCCTTGCATAGTAGGGTGCCCTTAACCCTAAGCCCTAAACCCTAAACCGTAGTAGGGTGCTTCTGCAGGAACCATGAAAGGGACCTGGCAAATTAGGGTTCGCACGTGCCCGGCAAAAGCGTCCACGAGACAGAGTGGGTCTAGGGTTTAGGGTTTTAGGGTTGAGGGTTCAGGGTTTAGGGATTCGGGTTTAGGCTTTAGGGGTTAGGGTTGAGGGTTTACGCTTTAGGGTTTTAGGGTCGAGGGTTGAGGGTTTAGGGTTTAGGGGTGCTGAGAGCCGAAACCGCACTTACGGCCAAAGTTCTCCTCAAGATGATGCCGAACAGGCCCGGAACCGGGTCTGCCAACGCCTCAACGCTCCAGGGTCTTAAGCTGAAGGGGCCCCTAAACCCTAAACTCCTAACCCCCAAACCCTATGCCCTCAACCCTAAGTCCCAACCCCTAAACCCGAAAAGCCTGAAACCCTGCACAGCTACGAAGCCCAACAACCTCCAGTCGCCTGGTGCCGGGGGCGGTCGTCACGGGCTCCAGGACAGTTCCAGTTTTGGGTGGTGGCCTCCGAGGCTGCGGAAGGTGGGTCGGCGGTGATGGGGTTAGGGTTTAAGTAGGGTTGAGGGCCGAGAGGTTCAGGGTTAAGGGTTTGGGGTTTGATGCTTTGGGTTTGGAGATGTAAACTGTAGAGGCCTTGAAGTAACAGGAGTAGCTTTGTGATATTGATGGTACAGATCTGTCTAGATAAGGAATCACATCTCAGCCCTGATGACAAACCGATTCCAGACATTGCTCGGGCGTGACTACAACGATGAGCTAGAAGCCGACACAGCCTATGAAAACGAATGACGAGAAGAATAAGATGCTGGTGCTGAGGCTGGTGATGACGACGGCAACGACGATGACGATTACCATGGACATGACCATGACGATGATCTTTGAAGATGACGATGCCGATGATGATGATGATGATGATGATGATGATGATAGTGGTGATGATGACGTGGAAAATGATGGTCTTCATCGCTTTCACTGTAGCTCATACCGCATGAACTCGTGTCACTGGCTCCCGAGTACCCTCACGGGCGTGATTTCAACAAGGCCCTGTGCCATTATCTGCTGCCCGGTCCTATCTCTACTGCTGTCGGGTCCGTTGTGTCAGATGGTGACTCGGCGAACGGACAGGATTCGAAAAGAAACGAAGACTTTCAACACCAACCTTCAGCCCCTTCACCTAAACACTAAAGACCCATAAGCCCGAAACCCTTATTCCTCAAGCTAAAAACTCAACACTGAAAACACCCTAAACCCATAAACCCGCCAAAAAAAAATCCTAACTCCTGGAACCCTAAACCCCAAGGGCCTAAGACCCTGAAACCCTAAGAATCCGCAACCCTGAGGCGCCTCGACACCGAGGGTGCCGACAGTGCCGAAGAATTTGCTCCTTGCACGCAATGTTGGAGAACGCCTTTAGGGTCTAAGGTTGAGGGTGCAGGGTTTAGGGAAAATTCCATTTTCCGTCCGCAGTGTTGGTGTTTCGGGCTTAGGCTTTAGGGATGTAGAAGCCTTAGCTATGAGAACGAGGGTACACTTTTGGGGCATGTTACAGCGTATCGCAGGGAACCATACGGGTTTGGTCATGAGCGGTTGCAGCTCCGTTACCCTCATCATGGCTTCCATCGCAAGCTGGGACCTCCTCAACGTCTTGACTCTCAGCATGGTCTTCATAGGTCCGGTCATAGGTCTCCGATTGGGGTCGACTTTGACGCTCAGGCGGTTGCTCCCACGTACCCGGTGCGGCCTGTGGAACTTCACTCGGGCTGACATATCCTCATTGACTACTTCTGTTGATGATATAAATCCTGCATTACCCATAAGAAGGAATATACTATAATTCCCATAGTTTAGGGTCCTTAAGGTAATGCAGGATGTATATCATCAACCGTTTCAGGCACGTCAGGATCCTCTTGGATCGTCTCAGCCTGGGTCTGGGTCTGGTGAGGGATCGCTGAGGCTCCACTTGGGGTCAAATAGGGGGTAGATGGAGGGTCTAGGTACTGGAGCCGAGTGGGTTTCTAAAGACTAGAAACCCTAAACCCTAAACCCTAGGGTTTAGGGTTTATAGCATCACTTGGGTCTCTGGCTGTTGTGCCAAGGAGCTGACACTGGCCACCGTCAGCCCCATTGACGACAGGCAGGGGCTGCAAATGCAATGCATAATGTGACTAATTATGCCGCCTCCTACCTTCTATAATTCAGGAACCTGATTACGAAACCCGGGTCCTATACCCCCAAATACCAGAATCCATATAGAGAGCCCGAATAAAGACCAGTGCCCTTAATCAGGCTCCTATATTCGTGTTGGGAAGGTTCAGTCACGGTTGTGCATCGGGTTTGGAGCCCCTACTTGGAGGTTCACGGGCGGTTGTAAGTAGAGTTATATGGGGTATAGGTATAGTTACCCTACTTATAACCCTACTTATAACTACCCCTGGACCTCCAAGTAGACCCTAACCGCTTTTAGAGCATGTCGGATTGATGACCTAGGATTTTATAATGTTCAGGGTTCAGGATCTGGGTAGTCCATTGGTGACGTATTTGACCCTAAACCCTAAACCATACACCCTGAACCCTAAACCTTTAGCGATAATGCAGAAAGCCGTTGCGGCTCCTTGACGGCTCCTGGTCGGTGAGCCTCGGGTGGTCAAGAGCGCTTGATCATGTCTTGTTTGTAGGATTTAAGATAGGGGCCTTAATAATGATCAATACTATTCTGGGGGGTTCCGCATTGTAAGTATAGTATAATTGGCACCAAACCGTATTCCACTTAGCGCTTTTGTCCACTCGCTACAGGAGTCCGCAGCTATCAGAAGACCTCGAAAGATCAGGTGGATGAGTTCTGAGGGGCTTAACAGTTAGGGCTCAAGTTCAAGATTTCTGATTCATTCATGGGGCTCGGTGATCTTAAGGTTTGTTTTAGGGTCAAACTGACAGAGGCTGTGTAACGCTTCTTTGTAAACGTTCTAAAAGGGGGTACCGAATTGGACTTTGAAAGGTTATATCAGCGGCTTACGTTTAATGGGATGTTAGAGGCTGTTAAGGCGCTTGGGTTTGCGGACTGCGAGTTTGAGGGTGGAGGGTTGGGTAAGGTCAGGATACAGAGTTGACTTGAGGGATTAGGGCTCAGCCTTGAAGTATAAGGATGGGTTCTGATGAGTGCTCGAGAAGGCATCAGGCTTCTGGGCCTAGGATTGCTGCATGAGGGTAGCTTCTAAGTCCTCAAGGGATTTCCGAGAAAAACTCTGAAACCTACCTTTAAAGCCCTAAAACCCCAAAACCCACAACCCGCAACCCTCTAACCTGCATGTAAGCTACTTCTCAAATCCTCGGAGAATTGGTGCAACACGTACGGGAAACCAGGACCCGTGCTCTGAGGCCTCTAAACCCTAAACCCTAAACTGCCAAACCCTTAAACCGTAAACTATCAAACCCTAAACCCTACTATCAAGCCCTAAACCCTCAACTATCAAAACCGCAACCCCTTAACCCTAAACCCAAATAAGCTATCAAACCCTGAACCCAAACACCACGGCCACTGCTCTGAGGCCCCCAAGCCGGAAACCCAAAACTATGAAACCCTAAGCCCAAAAAACCTCGACCAGTGCTCTGAGGCATGAGCCATCGTAGCCCAGGTTGCTGCCAGGCTGCCTTTGCTGGCTTAGAGCTTACTTGGAGGTTCAGGGGTAGTTTTAAGTAGGGTTAATAGCCCCTTAATATGGGCTGTAAGTTTAGATACCCTACTTATAACCCTACTTATAACTACCCACGAACCTCTAAGTAGAGCTTCTCTGAGCCGGGTTTTAGGTTTAGCGTCTACCCAGAGGCCCCATAGTAGTTCCCTAGCTTTTTGGGGGCTCATATGTAGAACCCTACAAGGTAATCCCAAGAAGGAACTCTACTATGGGGCCTACTGGTAAGGCCTAATTAAGGTTTAAGGCTCAGGGTTTAAGTTTAAGGTTTAGAAGTCGGTCCCCTCGACCCTATTTCGTTTTCCCTGGCGGGGTGATTTGAGCTTTGGGCTTAAGCTGAGAAGGGGTTTGGGCTTGCTTGGTGGATTGCGCCTACACTCCAAAACGCAACCAGTAAACGCAATAAAGAAACCCTAAACCCGAAACCTCAACCACTGGAGCGTATGCCGAAACCCTAGCCTTAAACCTAAGTATCAAACCGGCCAAGCTCTACTCAAGCGCTCTGTCCGTGAAGAGCCCTCATACAGCCCAATCAAACCCCACTGAACCTATATGAAACACTACGAAAACCAACAAAAAAACCTATAATGGGCTCTACTTTGCAGCATGTCCAGACTGAAGGGACGCCGCCTCCTGTAGTACGTAATTGAGCAAATTTTCAACAGCGACGATCCTCTGCAGCTTTCTGCATCTGTTTAAGTTTCTTCTTTGCCACGGCCTGGTGCTTACAGCGCAATCGGTAGACTTCACCCTCCAACCTCCAACTGTGCAACGCCGAGTAAGAAGCCCTTTGTAGCGGAAGGATGCGAAGGTGATCAGGGAGAGCTCTCTCTCTCGCGCAGAGCTAAAAGGAGTCATTATAGGCGTGGGAAGGTCCTGAGAGGATTTCGTCTGAAGCTGGTGGTTGGTGGTGATTTGGTATTACATGGTGTTGGTATACAGGGTATCAGAGACTGCGCCGGAGCACGAGACAACCGCTTTCCGCAGCTTGCTGGCGTGCGCTCCTGCAATGCGCCATCCGAAGGAGGTCGATTTAATGGTTTAGGGTATTGGTTTTTAAGTTTTAGGGTCTTTTGATTAGGGCTATTACTGCTAGTATACCAGCAATGGGGGGGTAATTTAGGGTGCCTGTTGGAGTCCTCATGTCCATGGTGCTGTGCTGAATGGGCATCAGAACGGGGACTCTCAAGTGGTGCCTTGCCAACAAAGACCTGGGTAGCTCTCCAAATTGGGTTGCCTTTTAGGGTTAAGGGTTTAAGGTTTATAGGGTTTAGGGTTTAGGGTCTAGGCTGTCGAAATATTTTAGGGGGCAAAAAACCCACTGCCACTTAAACCCTAAACCCTCAACCATTAAGTTAGAGAACTACCCACCTCTAAACCATACCGGTCGCCTGAATAACCCATAGCCTGAGGCTCCATGTACCTTTCTTCGCACTGACTCCAACTACTCGCAGCATCAAGTTCAACTAACCTCGCTCACGACTCACGACGGTCTAAACTCTGTCAGCCTCAGTGAGGCCACGCCATGCTGCAAGGCCCGCTGTTGACCCGCGCTTGCTTACTTGACATGCCGAGAAAGCACGCACGGTCACCTGCGACATTGAAACTCTGCCCTTCCGGCGCTCCACTACGCGCGGTCCTGACGACGCTGGTGCCAACTGACGAGAAAGCGCGGACAGTCAGCACACAGGCACATACTTCTAGCAGCACAGGAAGTTTTCCTGCATTGTCTCGTTGAGACAAGAAGACACGCACTGTGCTGGCACAACTTCTTAACAGAGGGCTCCTTTAAGAAATAACTTTAAGGGTTCCTTTTCGGGCTCCCATAGCCTAAAGCCTCCACCACAGACTCTTCAAGAACGCTTGAAGGAACCCTTCCGGCAAACAGCGCGCCCTTGAAGGAACCCGTCAAGTCCTGAAGAAAATGCTGAAGGAATCCTTAAAGCAACTCACACAAGACTTGAAGGAGCCCCTGAAGGAACGCATAAAGGAACCATTCAAGGAATTCTTATAGGAGCAAATTAGGATCGCAGAGGAATCAACTCTTCTTAAAGGAACCCTGGAAGAAACCCGTAAAGGAACCATAAAAGGAAGCATTAAAGGAAGGAGCTCTTTTGGGAGACTTAGGACCTTGGGAACCTACGGGAACCCTAAACCTTGAACCCTGAACCCTCGACACTAAACCTTCCCAAACCCTTAACCCTAAACCCGACACCCAGAGGCTACTCTTCAAGGACCCCAAACGAACCCTAAAAGCAGCCCTATCCCACGAACTCAGGGCCCCATCTCATGGAACCCTGTTGAAGCCCAGGTGGCCGACCTTCTCGCAAAGCCGTGATGGCTCCAGCGAAACTGAGTTTCGCCATGATCGGCAGAAGCCAGCAGACACGTCGATGCAGTCTATGAATGTAGGCTTAGGCCCTAGTCCGGAGGACGGAGCACATTCGACAGTCTTTGAGTGGCGTTGAAAAACAGTCGTTAGTGTGAGCCCATGGAAAGTTGAGCGGTCGTCGCACAGAGAGTTTGTGACCATCGGGGACGACGTTGAGAAGATCACCATGGCCTCTAACGACCAGAACCCGAATTCAAGTGACTTACCAAGCGATCAACAGGTTATGAATAGCCCAAACGTTACCAGTGCAGATATGTCTGCTACAAGGGCTGGGCGATCCCAGCCGGTGATGAACGGAGTTCAACCCCCGTTGAGGGGGGAGCAAGACCTGGATGGAGAAGTTCTGGCGGCTGGAGTCTATGAAAACATGACTGGCCGGCAAGAAGCTTCTCGACCTTCAGCTGAGACCGGTCCTATTGCGGCCGATGGGATTGATTCCCGGCCAAGAAGCGGGGCTCCAGGCTCTTCAGAAGGCATGCCAGGAGAAGCACGACCTCGGAGGATGACCTCATCCTTTCTTGGGGCAGTTTCTGGCGACCTCCAGACGAGTTCGCCAGGACCTGCTCCTACAGCGGTGTCTGGACCACAGCAGCCCCAAGCACAAGGTGTTATCACTGGGATGTTGCGGGCGGTTCAAACGCTGCCTAATGCGATGGAGAGTCTGGTGGCTAGGTCCACGTCGGGCCGCTCTGCGCCAGGAACTCCTGCCCAACATGACAGTGTGGAATATGCCTCTGTTCGTACATCACCGGAGCGGTTGCCTATACCGCCAACTTCTCTGGAGGCGGGCGAGTCACCGTTACTGGATGCACAGACCTTGATGAGAATGCAGCAGATGGCTGCCGGAGCTCCGCTGTTGTATCCGGCAGCTTCGCAGGAGTACTCGGGCCCTCCTGGCCCTGTGGAGCCAAGTCCGCCGTCGACTACCTCTAGTGAATTACAAGCTGAAGTGAGGAGGCAGTTAGCTGAGCTAATGGCCGTTAGGGATGAAGAAAGCCGTAGGCTACGTGCACAGGTGGAAGCACTGTCTATGGAAAACCATAGCCTTAGGGTTCGTGCGGAGCTGGAAGCTCAGCACTTGATGCATCCCTCGAGGTCAACTACGGGTTTCCCTGGACTTGGGTGGTTTGGGAGAGGGTTGGGATCTTTGATGGGCCAGGTTCGCCCGGAGCGTGCCTTGGAATCGGGCCCTCCAGCAGCACCCAGTCCTCCACCTCCTCCTCCTCCTCCTAGCGTGCTACAACTGCCTGCAAGCCAGAACCTGCCTCAGACCCTTCCTAGGGCGCCTTTGAGGGCGCACCTGAATGTGCCGAGACAGGCCTTGGAGCCTCCGACTGGGGGCGGCGGACATTATGGTTTAGGCCCTAACCCGCCTGACCCTAATGTCCCTTTTGGGGTTCCAGGATTAGGTGTTGAACTAGGACAAGCCAACTCCTTGAACGCCAATGCCTGCCTGGCCCCTAGAGATTCCCCGCCTGAACCCTACTATGAGAACCCGAGGGTAGTCGTGCAGTCCTCAACCTCCCCTACTGGGTATCCGTATACTACAGTGACGAATGCTGATCAGCCCCTTCCGCCTCCGCAAGGTCCAGAAGCTCAGGGAGTCGATCCTTCGCTTGGCCCCGCGCCATTCCCTTGGAGGACCCTCTGCCGGGGCTACGGATCCGATAAGCGTAGTGCTTACTGGGATGGCTCAGCTACAAACTGTAGTCCAGGAAATGGCAAGCCCTAAGGGAACGACGAAGCCTGAAGCGATTAAACCCGGGGTTGTGAACCTTCCTGAGCTCCCCATACACGGCCCCGAAAGTTGTTTAGCTTTCGCTGATTGGTTGCATGCATCCCGGCCTGCCTTGGCTGATATCAGCGATACTTCAGAAGACTTGTGGACCCGTACTGTTGAGGAAGCGCAGGCATGGTATGCAGGGTACTTGAAGATGGATCCGTTGACTAGGCTAACCGCAAAACCAAGGGCCTCTGATGAACTCACTCAGGTGAAATGGGGTCGCGTCTCGCGGCGCATAGAAACCATGATTACCTCTGCAGCCCCGCAGCCCATCAAGGACGAGTTGAATGCTTCCCGTACTTCGGGATTACTCCCACTCGTATGTAGATTATTCGTAATCTACGGGCCGGGTAGCTTGACAGAGCGCGAATTAGGTCTCAAGAGTATAGCAGACCCTCCAGCCGGAGCGTCGATCGCGGACACAATCGAAGGGTTGCGAAAGTGGCAGCGCTGGTGCACTCGCATAAGTGAACTTAACGGTGTATTGCCCGACAGTGCACTGCAGGTTCGAGCACTATCGAAAATCACCAGAGCGGTGCTCCAACAGCACCCGGAGGTTGCGTTTAGGGTGAACTTAGTGCGGGCTTCTTTACAAGTAGACTTGACGCCAGATAATGAGAAGGTTCAGAAGTTGTATGCACAGCTGTTGGGTGAATTAGAGGCTATGGCGCACAGGGGTGACAAGGATAAGGATAAGAGTAGTAGAGAGACTCCTACTGCTCCTCCAGCTCCGAAGATCAAAGGGGTAGAAGCTACTCTTCCGACGCCGCCCCCCCCAAAGGGTCCTAAGCCTCCTAAGAGTTCGCCTAAGGGTACAGGTGCACCGAGCCCGAAGGGTCCTTCTGAAGCCGGTAGTCCCACGAAGACTCCCTGCACTTTCTTCTCAGGGCCGAATGGTTGCAAAAAGGGTGCCGATTGCACTTACGATCACCAATGGGGATCTTTCTCAGCTGCCGAAAAGGCCCTTAGGTGCCGCAACTGCGGAAGCAAGTCCCACAAGGCCGCCGACTGCCGTGCAGGAGCCAAGAATGAGGACTTTAAGTCTAAGGCAAGGCCCAACAAGCCCGGTAGTCAACCCAAGTCAGCACCTGATGTACCACATCCCCCGGCACCGCCAATGACTTCTCCGGACGCTGGGCAACAGCACATAAAGACCTTGCTTGCGGATGCAGCTATGATCCTTCAGCAAACCTTGCCTGGAGCCTCGAGCCAGACACCCGAGCCCTCCCCTGCAGTTCCGGCAACGCCAATTCCATCCCCCCCTGCTAAGGCCTCTCAGGCACCAGCAGCGGCAGTGCAAGGAACTCCGGTGACACTTGCCTCCTTAAGCGCCCAGCTGGATCTGCTGAGGTCCATGGCTAGAGATCCTGAGATAAGGACTTGCAATGCGAGCACCGGCCCATCGAGCGTCGTTGCTTCTTCAGGGTCCACCTCAGGGACTTGCAGCGTTACCTTGGGGCAGCTGAGCGAGCAACTGAAGGTTATCCGTAGTATAGCTGAGGAGCTTGAGGTGAAGGTGTGCGGTGATACGGGAAAGGGTGACCATGGCAGGGGCGCTTTGCTAGATAGCGGCGCCACGCATGCGGTCATTGCTTATGACCCGGCCCTTACCAACTTGGAGCAGGTACCGGTGACCCTGGCAGGAGACGCCCGCCAGGATTGGTGGAAGACACGGGGAGGCACCCTAGTCGTGCCTCCCGACCATGGCTCCGCTACTACTAAGCCCGTGCAGACGATACTTCCCCTCGGAGCACTTGTTGAGTCGTTGGGCTGCCAGGTTCAGTGGAGTAAACGCAAAGGGCTCCGTGTCTACCATCCTACGTTAGGAT